GATTTCGTTAAGCTGGGTAGCAATGAAGTCAGGCGCGCCTTCGACACACATGCCAAGAGCCAGAATACCGGCTTGACGGTAGTCGGGGTTCTGCGACTGGAAGTAGTTGCCAAGGTTCTTAAGAAGAGGGATGACAACTTGGCTGGGAGGAAGGCTTGAGGCAAGGATGTCGAGGAGTCCAAGAGCGGAGCGGGCAGGAGTGACATCCTCCTCCTCGCTGGAGAGCTCACCGAGCTCAGTGACGATGTGGAGAGCCTTCAGGGTCATCTCCTCACCGATCCTCAGACCCTGCACCTTGAGCTTCCTGTAGCGAACGCATTGCATGAGGAATGCGAGCGCCTGAGAACGGTAGTCATCTTCGACGTTGGTGCTTGACGCAAGCTCGAGCATGAAGCGGACGAGATCGCCGAAGTGCTTTGCCAGAAGCGCGGACTCGCAGCCAAGAAGAGTCTGGAAGACCTCGAAAGCTTGCATAGCGCGGTCCTCGTCACCCTCATCGACAGTAGCCTTCAGAACGTTGACCATGCCGGGGATGGACTCTTGGAATAGAGCAAGCTCCTTGGGGCTCTCGTCGGGCTCAAGCAACATAGCTAAGCGACTGAGACCAAGCATGGTGTTGATCCTGACTTCAACGCTCTGGGGGTCTTGGATGGTGGAGCTGAACAGCTTGTACAGATCGGCTTGCTTGCCGGGGAACGAGTCGCCCGCTGACTCAAGCGTGGTGAAGATGATATATGTACCGACTTCACGGTGGCGCGCCTCGTTGCTCGTGGCAGCCTGTTGGAGGTAGCCAGGCAGGTCAGCCCACTCGCCATCTTCGAAATCTTGCGACGCGATGGCCGAGATGACGCGGGCAGCAGAGTGCCGTGTGAGAGTCACGTCCTCGTTCAGTGTGAACTGGAACAGCTGATTGCGGAGAGAGTTCTTCTGGTCCGCAGGCAGGTTGGCCCAGTGCTTCGTCACCAGCTTCCTAGCCTCGACGGCCGCCAGTTGGCGGAGTTGAGGCTTAGGGTGACCGCAGAGGATCTGAAGGAGGGCATTGAGAGAGGCGGGTGAGTTGTAGTAGTTCTTGTTGAGGGTAGAGGTAGCGGATTTGACACGCTCGGTGTCGGCTGGAGAATGTCAGTACAGGTTCTGTGGTAGAGCGGGGTTGGGTAACATACGCTCCATGAGGCCCTCGAGCAGCTGGACAAACTGTTGCTCGTCCATGGCGATGCTCTCACAGTGTAGTTATGTAGAAAGCAAGGCTGTGGTGATCTATCGCGGGGCAGCGAAGACCTTTGATATTTACAGTTGTGAAAAGAGCGCCGCTCGATAGAAGAAGGTGGGATTTCAACTTTTTTAGTGGGTCCAAAAATTAGGGTCCAAAAGTTAGGTAAGCCGGCTCACCGACCAATGGCAAACGAGCGCGGCAAACTCGAGAAGCAAACGCTGCACGAGCACGTAGCAGCGCGGAAAGCCTTGAGTGGGGACGCTCCTTTCGGTGTCCCTGTTGGCTAGTGGTCGTAGAGTCCGACCTGGTGCGTCGGTAGACTGCGCTGGAGATCGACTGTGCGAGCTGGCATAGGTTCTGGAGCTCCAGCATTAAAGCTGCTTCGTGTGACGAACGAAGAAAAGCCCCATGGAGGAAGTAGTCTGTGAAATGCCATCATTTGAAGTGGGTGACAGCTCTTCAGGTAGCTAGGAGACGAGGCGGCGATGGCTGGCAGTGATGCCTTGTTCTTGCCAGGAGGTAATGCAGAGGGAAGCCATCTTGTCGGAAGCTTCCGTGACAAGAACGAGATGAAGAAACAGCGATACAATGAGGTAGCAGGTTTCAATGGATGGAGGAAGCTGGGGGAGCTGGAGATGTAGAGGTTCCAGACAGCTCCAACGCGACTTGATAGGACGCGCTAGGCCAGGGTCTGTGCGGCGGAAAGCTGTTAGCAAAAACAGAAGGAGCAACGGCAGACAAGACAACTCGCCGCTGCCATCACTAAAGAGGAGGCTCTTCCACTACATTCTCTCTTACCCCGAAATTGTAATACCCCACCCCATCTCCGCCGCCCACCCCAGCCACCTGTATACCTCACCAGGACACGTTGCTCGACCCCTCCGCCTCCGACTCCATGGCTTCAGTATGTCTGGCAATTGCCGCCCCAATCTGACAACATGTGACATCGATACTGACTCCAACCAGCAAGCTCCTAACCAGCCGCGCCCTTACCCAGGCAACTACCTCCCTAATGGCGGCGCTCCCGGTGGTCCCTCAGGCCCAGCGCCTGGAGCTGTTCCGCTGCTCCCTAACCAGGGCCGCGTGATCCAGCAGGGAAGCGTGCGAGTGCTGTGCATTGCAGATGTCCGAGGTGAGGGCGACAACAACACCATAACTGCAATTCCATCTTGCTAACGCCAACTAGGAAACCTGCAATCGCTCAACCAGCTCGCTGCCGACGCCCGCGCAAACTACATCATCCACACCGGCGACTTTGGCTTCTACGATGACCGTTCGCTCGATCGCATCGCCGAGAAGACTCTCAAGCACGTGGCCCAATACTCACCGCTGTTGTCAGATGCAGTTAAGCGCTCCATCGCATCAGCCCCTCCCCAACCGCCCATCAAAGAGCGCTTCGCACGGGAGCACCTGCCACTCTCAGAACTGCCCCTCTTCCTCAACAAGACATACACCCTGAACGTGCCAGTATACACGGTGTGGGGTGCTTGCGAAGATGTTCAGGTACTGGAGAAGCTGCGATCGGGCGAGTACAAGGTGGACAACCTGCACATCATCGATGAGGCGCATTCGCGGCTGCTCGATGTAGGTGGCGTCAAGCTACGACTGCTCGGTCTCGGTGGTGCTGTCGTCATGCACAAGCTCTTCGACAACGGCGAGGGCAGGACGACCATTGCAGGTGGACAGGGTACCATGTGGACTACCCTGCTACAGATGGGCGAACTAGTCGACACAGCCAACCGCGTATACGATCCGACCGAAACCCGCATATTCGTCACCCACGCATCTCCCGCTCGCGAAGGTCTGCTCAACCAGCTGTCCGTCACGCTCAAGGCCGACTTCTCTGTCTCCGCTGGTCTGCATTTCCGCTACGGTAGCTCCTACAACGAGTTCAGCGTCAACCCCACACTCGACCACTACCGCGGAAAGCTCGCCGCATCCAAGGCCTCGTTCAACGACGTGTGGGATACGGTCAAGACTGAAGTCGAGCCTGCGGTCGCTGATAGCGAGTCTCAACAACGTCTACTGGCACTGGCACTTGAGATAGTAAACAAGATGCCAACTGTAGCCAACGGCGGAAACCCATTCGGCGGTCCAGCTCCTGGTCCTCAGAGCGGCCAGATCGACGAGAGCGCTTTCAAGAACATGTGGAACTTCAATCTTGCAGATGCTGCCTACGGTTGGCTCGTACTGGATATTGACAATGGCAGAATTGGTACTGAGATGAGGGCCCAGGGTTTCAACTTCGCTCACCGAGGTGGAAAGGTCGCACCTGGCCAGACTCAGCCTGCAGCTGCAAACACTAGCACTGGTCCCCCAGCTGCAGTAAATCCCAGCCCTTCCGCGCAGCCATCGCCTGCTCCAGGTCGTTCAGCTGGACCACCAGCGAACGCTCCTCAGCAGCCCCGCCCTGCCGTTGCGACCCCGCCGGTTCCTCAACAGCAGAAGCAGAATGCCGGCCAGGCTGCACGGACCGGACCCTCGCCCGCCCCCGCTGCTACACCCAAGGAGCCCCTCAAGGCCGCCACACCCCAGCCTCCGGCCAACAACACGGCAGCAAATGCCGCTGCTGAAAAGTCCATTCCAAGCGAGGTCAAGCCCAATGGCACCGGCGCGCCAGAGAAGGCTACATCCCCAGCTCCCCGGGAACCCGTCGAGCGCAAGGAGAGCAAGGGTCTCTTCATTGCCGGTGTAAAGGACGAAGAAGAAGCCAAGGGCCTGCTCGCCGAGGAAGACAGGTCCAAGGTCGAGAAGATGGAGAAGATCAAGCACTTCTTCGTTGCCCACTTCGCTACTTCGCAGGACATGCACGGTGCGCTCCGTCGCGTTGCGGATGATGTCAGGAACGCTAGGGGCGGTCCAGACAACAAGACCGTCAAGGTGTACAACGAGCGTGGCCCTGGTCCCAACCAGCCTAGGTACGGAGCCGGCAGCTGGCAAGCCAGCACCCGTGGTGGCGTCTCAGGCGGCGGCTACCGAAGTGGAGGTGCCTCAGACAGTGAGGGCGGTCGCGGCGGTCGCGGAGGCCGTGGCGGTGCTTCTCGCGGTGGACGAGGAGGCGAGCGAGGCGCACGCGGAGGCCGTGGAGGAAGGGGATCATTCAGGGGTGGTGAAGGTGCTCCCGCAGCATCAACAGGAGGCGAGTCATAAACGCTGCCTGACCGCACCTCCACACCCTCGCCGACTCTGATACCCCTTCTTTCTTCTTCGGTTCCGTGCTAATGGCTGCCATAGCAAACATGACGCGGTCTGTCCCGGGCGAGTTCGTCTCTGGCGACATCCGCAACCATGTGCTCTAGCTTTTATCATGTTTTCTGGGAGCGATTTTCCATACCTTCTTCGTAGCGGGCGTGGGTTGTGCGGGTTTTCCTTTTCAGTCCCTGTTTAGATGGGACCAGGATGGGTGGATCGGCGCATTATGTGGTCCTTGGCTTCCATATTTTGGATCGCTAGGGAGGCTTTCGATGAAGTATGGTATGTATGTACTGTAATCACAAAACATTGAGAAATATGTCGTGAGCAATCGTTTCCGACCTGTCCATGTTCTTGATGCACCCCAATTAAGGAAGAACCTAAACACTCTGGAGCCTACGTTAACGTTAGGTTACTTACTTTGCATGTTTCTATGTTAATTTAGGCTGCAGACCTGTTCAGTTTTTTCCTTATATGAGGTGGCTGTGTCGTATATCATCTCTAGGCTGTACCATGGTTGGGGTATGTTGTTTAGTCCCAATCCAGCATGACAGCCAGGTAACTAGGGTTTTTCAAGTCATATACTAACATTACATGTATGGAAAGGTACAAGGTCTTGCTCCCAGTATCTCTGTTATTTTCTCGTTCATTTACCACACAGTAATTGCCCGCTCTCCCATCTTGTATCATCACCGGTCACGCTTTCAACATCATCAATACCGCTCCAAACATGGAGAAATCCAGCACTATTCAAGGCAAGCCAAATTCAGAGCCAACAGTCGCCCTAGAAGAACCCGCACTAATCTTCGAGTTCTTCGAGACCCTTCCTGCAGAACTCCAAGCCAGCATCATCAGATACGCTTGGAATAATGCAGTACATGCATCGCCACGACACCTCCACGCTGACACCAAATTTTGCCAAGTCTATTCTGTAGTCTCTGCATCAGCAGCAAGTACATTAGCAGCAAGTATACCTTCCCCAGTACATTACAGAGTCTCTCCCTCTGTCAACCACGACATCAACTTGCACTTGACTAGCAAGTTCTTCGACGCCGAGTGCAAGTTCCTGGCTGCGCCGCATCTTCTCCACCTCCCTGTTTCCACCTCGGAGGGAACTAAATCGAAGGGAACCAAAGCAAAGGAATCAAAACCTCTCCTCTTCATCCCAGACGTAGACACCCTACACATCAACACCAAAGGCGAAATAACCCACAAAGACACCGTCCTCCATGCTTTTGCCGCCTTGCCCAAACCCCTCCGCGACACCGTCAAACATATCGACACTGACTACACAGACGCACAGGACCGACGCGAGCTGTGCGATCAGATAAGTCGCGGAGGCGGTCCATCGAGCATGGTCCGCGAAATGGATGCGCCGAGATTAGAAACCGTGACTATCTCGGTCTGTAGCTATATCCTAAGGGATAGTAGATCTCTTGTGTTGCTAATTTCTGGGAAGGAGGGGCAGAGAGTGGAGATGAAGGTTGTGGCAGTGAATATACGGAAGGGGATGGGATTTTGGGGTAGGATGGTTGGATAAACAATTGCGGTGAGGTTAGGCGTGGCGGATACGTTGTATGATTCCACCAAGTATACATACCAAATGCTACAACGTCGCCGTCTGGCTCAGGTCTCATTCATACATACTACCTAGCTACACTACCAATTATACTATAGCCTGATACTAGCTGATCTTCTGAGCCAGCTCCACCACGTATAGACACCTTGTAGTCTCCAAGCGGCTCTGTTTGGACGTAGTGAGTGTGTTGAGGAGCGATGCCTCTATGATCGAAATGCGTACGTGCAACTTCTGAAACTGGTGGGCGACCTGGTGTGACGATCCATACGCATCTTTGGCCATCTCGGGCTCTCGCTGTGGTAGACCGCGTAGGGTTTCGTGGGGGAAGGCCATCCCCAAAGTGAAGGTCGTCCAACTCGCTCTCGGAATGACTGCAGATGTCGTAAATGATTGATCCTGACTGGCTTACCGGGCCTTTGACTTCAACAACTTTAGCATATCTCCGCTGGTCCTTCAATACCACAGGCGAAGCTGAAGGCAGAATGCCAAGCTGATGCAGTGTTGAACTGAGTTGTGAACTCACGCTGGGAACAACTGGAGACGCAGGGGAACGTTCAACGAGCGTTGTTTGACCACTGTTCAGTTGCGATGGACTGTCATATGCTCCTGGAAGATGCGATGGGTTGACACATGCTCCCGGTGTATGAGGGGTGGGTGAAGACGAGAAAGCTTCGACGACAGTTGCTGGACCACTTTCGAGTTGCGATAAATTGTCTAAGGATGCTACGAAGTGTGGGGTTGGCGAGAAGCCTGGTGGAGACGTTGCCGCATATGTTGCTGACAGCTAATCAGTAATCGAGCATAGAGGCGACGGACGATGTGCGGTGTTGTAAGCTTGGTTATCCTGCACATCCTTCCAGTCTGGTAGAGCCGCGAATTCTGCATCGGACATGAAGGCGGGATGCGAACCTGTCCGCTTGTTGTGAGTATATTCGACGGGACGCTTCAGCCACAAGCTTTCGACATGCTGTATCCGATGGCGCTCCTGTAATCGAGTCACCCAACTTTGCGCTTCTTCCTCTTCTTGCTCTTCCTACGAGCCGACCTCGTCAGCCCAGCTGCGGCCCTTCTCCATAGGCGATGGGAGGCCAAAATCGTCTGTCTCCTTCACCTTCTCTTTGACCTCTCCGGGTGCCTTGCCCTTGGCCGAGGGTAGTTCTGGGAATTCTGATGCTGAAGGCGCAACGTTATCGCGCTTTTCCCGAGTGTTTGCTGGCCTCTCATCGGAGCCTCGGAAGTCGCCACGGCCACCCCTGCTGCCACGGCCTCTGCCTCTACCTCGTCCGCGACTAGACTGTGCAGAAGTTTCATGGTAATCTTCGCCTCCGTTGTAGCCGTTGTCGACTGGTCTCGAGGGTGCGATGCCACCATGCGCGCCACGTGCAGCGCCTCGTCGCTTCTCGTCTCCAGTGCCAGAGAAGCCATCTTCTTTCTCGAAGTCCCACTCCCTGCCCATTTGAGCATTGAGCTTGCGCTGACGGTTCTTCTCACGTTCTCCCATCATCTGTTGGCGACTCTGGCGCTCTGCCTTCTGCTTCTCCGCAAGAGCCTTCTTGCGCTCTATATCCTGCTTCTGCATGACAGCTTCTCGTGCCTCGAAATTGCCCTTGTCAGCCTCGGCGCGAGCATGGGCGCTCTGACGGGCTTCATTCTTAATGCGCATGTTGGCTAGCTTCGTGTTGAGCTCCTCTTCTGTCAGGCGCGTACGTGCAGGTCCACCAGTCAGGCCTCTGTCTCCGCGCACGGCGTGCGTGGTCTTCTCCTTGGGCTCGGTTGGTGCAGAAGGAGGGGCTGAGGAGTCTGCGACATCTGCGGCGGCAGCGGCAGTCGGCGCAGCTTCCTTGGGCGCCTCGGAGGCCTTCTTGCCATTTTCTTCTAGTCGAATATCGGTGTTGTGTCCGCCGCGGCCTCGTCCACGGCCCCTTCCTCTTCCACGGCCGCGACCTCTATCGGCGTTCCTTGGCTCACGAGGTGCATGCGGGGCGAGATGTGCTTGCGGTGCAGTCGGCGGTTGTACTTCCTCGGGAACGAATGCGGCGGCGGAAGCCTGTAGCTCGATGGAGTTCTGCTCAACGACTGGTTCGGCGATAGGCGTGATGTCGTCGTCGAAGAAGAGGTCGTCTGTGCTTGCTGTTTGAGCGAATGGATCTATTGACGGATCGTCGAAAGCGGGGTCATAGGACGTGCTGTCGATCTGGTGGGGGTTAGTCATTTATACCGAGTATATGACTACTGCAGCAGGAGATATATCAAGGGCAATGGATGCATTAGTCAACATACCTGTGCTGGCGCTGGTTCTGGTTGAGCGACACTGACCTCGGGCGCTGCTGCTGGTTGCTCCACCTCGTTAGGTTGGGTTGCCCATTTTGACTTGAGCATGATGAATAATAACGAGTAGTGCTAGAAATAGTATCTAGAACGAAGTATTGGATTTGAGTCTCAGCGACGTTATTTAGCGATGTTGGTTAGCGATGTGAGGAGTCTTGGTCGTTGCGGCTGGCCGAATTACTTGCAGGAACCCTGGCAAGTCCGTGCGGAACACCTCCCCGCATCTGCAGTCTAGACCCGATGGGTCCTTCCAGGCCTCACGTCCATGGTTCAGTGGGAACTGTCCTCAGCATTCGCTGCGTCTTACCTTCGTCCTCGTAGAGATGGATGGCAGGGAAGACCGCTTGGTTGCCACGTGTGCAGCAGAGAGAGGCCCGGCACACCTCATACATGGCAAAATTGAACAGGTGCCTTGCAGCAAACATCAAGCCCATGAACAACAGTTCGCTAGCTGCAAAGGCAATGTAGACTTCCGGTATTATCAATTTTGTGCTAATGTTGCTCCTGCTGAAGGAGACCACAACATGGAAATATTCATCTCCGTGACATAATCTACCGATCCACGAACGCCTTCGCTAAATCATTGGAAAAGGAAGTAGGGCTATGCAGCCAATAAAATTACAAACACATCAAAAGATAAGGAAAGATCCGCACGACAGCTACTCTGGTTCTCCGTGTGAACTAGGAAGGACATCAGATACCTGAACGACAAAAGCAACGTACGGATACACTGGGATACCGGAACCGTAGGAATAACCGTCTTGCGGTTTACACCAAGGCAGGTTCTCCGCAATGGGCCAAACTTGTCCTCCTGAAGATGGAGGCTTGGGATGGAACGCCAGAGGCGTGAGTGCTTGACCAGGCCCGAGAGGTGAGAATTCGCGGCTCTGGCGCGAAGAACCTGGCGATAGTTCCGGTGGAGAGGTTGGTTGGTCTTCAAGCCAGCCGAGTACCTTTTGGCACACGGTTTCCGTGATAGCGTTGCCGACGTTGTCGAAATCCTGTCCGTTTAAGGTGTACTTGAGAATACCAGGATCACCAAATGCTGGTGCATGTGGAGGTCGCTTCGTAGCGGCGAGACGCATTTCATCCTCGACATCCTCCACAGTTCGAGGTGTAATTGGCTTCTTCGTTACCCTAGTACCGGAGATGGCAGACATGTCGCCTATGGACACTGGACCATCGAACTTTGCAAGCTCATCGAACTTGGGAAAAGAAATCTTGGAGATGCCTTGGGCCTTGACTTTCACGAATAGTTCGTCGAGAGCTGATGACACCGTCAAATCGGCTTCAGTCAACCCAGTCTTGATCAGCGTGATCTCGAAGCCATTATCGTCAAAACAATTATCAGATGGCTTGCCCAAGTAGGACAATAGCCAAGCCTGGTCAAAAACCTTCTCCTTGGGATGGAACTCAGCGTCGACAGACACCTTGTACTTGCAGCGAATGAGCCTCTGGCGCGGAGTCTCCATGTTCTCGTTTAGTGCTGCTTCTAGAGCCTTGTTAAGGGCGACAACGCCGTATGCCTTTTTAAACGCTACCACATGGTCGGTAAGCCAACCGGGGGCGATGTCTTCTTTTGTGATGGAGATTTCGACGGGTGGGGTTTGGGCGACCGCAATCTTTCCGAAGTGGAATACTGGAGCGGTAGGGTTGAGCATGCCTATATGCGCAGTTTTGAGTTGTGAAGGAGGAGCAGTCTTGGGGTAAGATATACACTTGAACTTTTGTTCGACTCTGGTTGGGCTGCTGCCAACCTTGGTTGGAGCGTTGTCATTGGACCCAGTAGCAAGGTCCTCGAATGCAACCACGGGTGGATCTGTGTCAGCCTGAGATTGCGAGGTGATAGCCTTGATATTTGCTGTCCGGGTTACAGTGAGGGCTTCGACGTCAGTAGTGGCCTTGTCTTGCATGGTTGGCTCGTCTCGAGAAAGTTCAGACGCAACCACAACGTCAGCAATAGCCTTGACCGTGGAAGTAGTCACGGCTTTTCTAGCAACGTCTTCTTGTACAGGCGCATTCTCTTTTGAGATGATGGTAGTGACTGACGCATACGGAGCGTTGTTCGCGTAAAATTTTCCGGTGGCGGCAATGCGCCTTGCCAGCGCCTTCTCTTTCTGCGCCTTCTTGTGGTTCTTCAAACCCTTGTTCTTCTTGTAAGCGACATCTCCGAAGGCGTCCTTGGGTGGAGCCATATTCGCGTTTCGAAGGTTCGAAACGAGAGTGTGACTAAGTACTGTCAGGGGTGGCGTGAATGAAAGCCTCAACATGCAACTTACAGATATGGGTGATAATAGTATAAGCGAGGGTATGGCAGAGTGCTCAAGACCAGATTGATGACTGCGGGCCAAGAGGAATCGATGCGCGTAATCAATTGAACGAGTATGCAAGGGGGAAGAACGAATGTGGTGAGCCGTGTCTAGTGCTTTTGGCCTGCGGGCGATGGTGTTGCACGGGTAAGATAACCTCGAGTGGAGCGCAAGCAGGTTGATCGTACGCTGACCGCGGTAAGCTATCGACTCTGGGTGTCGTGCGCCGTATTAGACACTAGTGCTGTGGGAGTGGAAGTGATGTAATGATGTGAACAATGGCGTCCGTGCGTTGAGACAAAGTAAGAGTGAAAGGAATTCTAGTGTGACTAAACGTGCATTGTTTGACAGTCACATTGTTCAAGACGCCTCGATCGTCACGTGGGGTTGCCGGAAACTAATGTTAACATGAGACGAATGTGTTATAAGGCATCTGTAAGACGGCTAGAGCGCTGCGAGATCAAGCAGACCGGTCCAATCCAACAAGAATTCTTGAAGCCGCAACAACCTCGACAGCACATGATACTAGCCTGACCTGATCGGAGGAATTACATCCAAAGTCTCAGATTTTGAAGACGCAGGGCGTTTGGCGCTACTTCACTGCGTTCCTCTGTATATGCGTCAGTACGTGCGCCGAGCAAGTTCAGTGGGGTGATTTACCCTGCACCCCTCCTCGTGAGGAGGGATGACGAAGATGAGAGCGCAAAAGCTGTGTGCGTAACCAATCTCTGCCTCGTTATCGTACTATTCGAAAGTGTCAGCAAAGTTTCAGGACGGCGTGAGTAAGACTGCTCACCTTGAGGAAGCCGAACTGCATATTACTTATAGTAGTGCGATTCAACCATTGTACCTTGACTCGTTCATGGGGATACCCGGGCCAGAATTCGCTCCAGCAATCGAACTCGCTGCCACCTTTACTTGACATAACGAGTTCGGAGAGTTCTTTGCCGATGCACGCAAGTTCGAGATCCTCTTGGTCGTCATCTTCATCAAGGTCCTCGGAGTCATACTCTGCTTCGCTGTCGTCTTCTTCATCACTCGCAGTGTGAAGTACGGGTCGAATGAGCGTCTTGATGCTTAGCGAGCGGAACACCTCATATGCCTTGGAATCTGACCCTTTGAGAACAGCAGATAGAGCTTCTGAGCCCTCCTCAGTGGCGTGAGCATATGCATGAGAGCAATACTTTCCGAGTCTACCGCCTGGAATCGTGTCAGTCATTTTCGAGCAGTATTCTAGGTTATCACGAACCCTTGGTCATGAAATTGGGACTATTCAAAAAGTTCGCGACCTCGCGATAGAGTGGCAGCTGCTAGACATCGAGCACCTCGGCGTGTCCTGCAGGCTCTCCAAAACCCCGACGTACAAAAAAGTTGTATGTAAGGGTTATGCGATGGCCCGCGGTGACTTCGAGGAATTCATGCTTGCAGTCACTGTAGAATGCTGCCCACTGTGTAGCGTTGACGTCACCAGACCAATCGAACATAGTAGTGTGCCCTTTGTGGCGGACGACGAGCTGACCTCCTTCGTGAGCGCACAGCAAACAGACGACAAGTGAGCCGAATTGCTTCTCAGAACGTGGTGTATCGATATGTGGCTTGAACAGACCTGACGGTGCTCCGTAGACCTGAATACACTGTCAGTTTGTTGAATTTGCTGAAGTGGAAGAAGGCGAGAAGTCGCGTACATTCAACTTGTAGAGTTCAGCTTGAACACCCTGTGACTGGTTGGGGGACATTGGAAGCAGAGCTTGCGCAACAACATCGACGATACCAGTCTCATAGGGACAGAAGTTGGTAGAGAAGGCGGAAGTGTCGAGCTTGGAGGCCTTGCGGTACGATTTGTCCATGACGTCCCTGCCATGATATCCGAAACCAGCAGGCTCGGTACCTTCGAGGAGCTTCGCAAGTGCATTGTCCACTATACCCTTACTGTCGACTTGTAGAGGTAGAATCAGTTTCTCGGTGACGCTTGAAGAGCCCCAGCGGATCGTGATCGGCGAACTTGGATGGTCGTTGGTGTCATCTAGGCCGTTGACAGAGCCACCACACGCGTATGTGGAGTGTGTGAGTATATTCTGGAGAGCCTTAACAATCGGCTCAATTGAATTGTTGTCATCATTTTGAGCGTCGTCACGGTTGTTGCGGGCCATGTCTGCAGCGCTGTGTGCGTAGGAGCAGGACGAGTGAAGTCAAAACAAACATGTAGTCCTACGAAACAGGAGCTTCTCAAGGCAGCAGTACGACGTTTCTTCGTTGTAGGATATAATGATGTGACGGTCACGATCTTGCTGTACGTCCATTGGTCATTGGGATGATGTTCGTGCTCTTGTGAGCAACCAGCCAGGTATGGTAGCGTCTGTAATGGAATCTATCGATAAAGACCAGAATCAAGGAGCCTTGCTCCGTCTCGAGGGAGAGTGACGAATGCAACCGCTTCTGATCGATGGTGTATCTGCGTCCTTGTGAACAAGGACGGATGATATCAGACTATGTGTTACTGGGTGAAGACGTGAGGAAATGCGAGTATGAATGCATCGAGATTACTTCAGTTAGGGAGACATGAAGCTGACAGTCTTCTTCGACATGGTCGCCCCTTCTGGCGAGTGGTACTTTGACGGAACACCAGGCGAGATCGTGGAGCAGTTAGGCGAGATCGTGCAGTTTCGCGACCGTGAAGATGCTAAGACCTTAGATCCGTTTGTCATGACTTTCGCAAAGGCGGTCTAAAATATGCCGGTCCTCCAACACTTCCTGCTAGAAACGGAGCTTGGGCACAAGATACGCTACTGGGAGATATCGTACTATGCGCCTGCGATCAAAGAGAATGGGCACGGGCGCGAAGATGATGATAAGATGCGACGGATCTACTGTTCCGTCGGGGAAGTATGGAGGCCAGATGACTTCATGGCAGAAGCTTTCCGACGTATCGGGCGGGATAAGCATGAGCCAGAGCTGATTGAAAGGTTTGAAGGAATGGGTAGCAGAACTTGGCCGCTTGGTTCTCCTTGGACTTGGTTCTGACCTACCTGGGTATGTAATCAACTTATCTGCGCTTTTACAAATGACTAGGTAGTCTTGATAACTCTTGCCGAACCATTATTCGATTGCGACTACTTAGCACTCCAGGCAGCTAAAACGGCACGTGCGGCGACAAGCCTTCCCGACGCTAAGCTTCATTGCGACAGCAACGCGCTTACTAAGCAGTCTGAACACTTCTACGCTCCATGCGTCCCATTCATCTTGTCGACCCACCTTGTTGTCGTCGACCTTACAAAATGCCCGATATAACAGCCAACGATGGTATTCATGTTCACTACGAGACATATGGCTCCCCCAGTGCCGCTCCCTTGATCTTGGTGAGCCCCCCGCTATCGAGCGCGTACCGCTACCAGGCCTGACATTGGTCGCTAGCTGCACGGCTTCACGGGTTCAGGCGCAGTCTTCAAGCGCAATGTTGCCGCACTCGCAAAAGCTCACCATGTCATCATCCCTGATCTGCGCGGGCACGGCGACTCCGGTAAACCAAAAGCCGGCTACAATGTGGCACGCCTAGCGATGGATCTGAAGAATTTGATCGAGTTCTTCGGTCTTCGCGACGGCACCATCAAAGCCATAGGCACGAGCCTAGGCGCAGCCATCCTATGGAGCTACAGCGAATTGTTCACTACTGGCGCATTCTCGCACATGGTTTTCGTGGACCAAGCTCCACTACAGAACTATCTTGAGGATTGGGGTCCTGATTTCGGCAATCTGGGATGCAACAATCCAGAGGCCCTGAACACGATGCAGAAGACACTGATTGCCAACCCGAAGGAGGCGCATCTCGGTACTATCGCGGCGTGCTTGGGCTACAGATCTCATCCGCGACCCCGAGACCCTCCGTCGGATTCGGCACAGTGGGAAGATGACGAAGCGTTCTTCCTGGCTGAGGCTCTGAAAGGCGATGGGTGGTGGTATGGGAAGCTGATGGCTGATCATACGGCGAACGATTGGCGACATCCAATCGCTCATGCTTTTGGGCCGGAGAGCGGTAGTGAAACAAAAGTTCTGGTAGTAGCAAGTAGCCGAAGTGGATGTTTCCCGGCTGCAGGACCGCTCCAGGTGGTGGAGCTGGTGAATGGAGGCGAAAAGGAAGGACTCGCGAAGGGAGTGACCGTGGATTGGGGTGGTCATTGGTGTTATTGGGAGAAGCCGGAGATGTTCAATGCGCTTGTTCTTGATTTCTTCTCGTGAGCGCAATGTACGCTGTAATGATTTGATGCTGCTGCGAAAGAGTAGTTCGTATTATTTGTCATCTCGACGTGCATACCTAGAGACCATCTTTTCATCGCCCAAGAGCGAGAGGGGTATAACTTCCACGCAACGAGTTCTTTCGCGCGTCACAAGCTGCAGAGCGTAGCTTATGAGTGGCCTATGGGCAAAAATAAGGCGAAATCATACAACAGTGGGGATTCACGAGCAATTATCCACAGAACCACTTCTAACACGCCGGCATCGTGCTTGTATATGGCTGAGCAGACAGGAAAGACCACTATGTGGGGTTCCCCAGGCTAAAGAGGCGGCTCCCGGAGGCTCTGGGGCTAGCGTCTTTGGTTTGTGGCTCGTAGCGAGCAAAACTGCCTCGAGACGAGCATGACTCGCCTCGATCCCCGCAAGACCTTCACGTATATATGCTCAGTTGTCTGTATCTTCATCGCATTATCATCACGCACTTCTTTCTTGTGCAAATATATTCCTCTTTACTTCTTCCCAGCATTGAACAGCTTTCATATCGAGACATCAAGCTTTACAGTCAGAGACCGGATTACCGCAGACCTCATCCGGGAGTTCAAAAAAGTAGACCACCAAAGATGTCAAACAACATCCTCATCACCGGCGGCGCCGGCTTCTTGGGCCCTATGCTCGCCGCCAAGTTGGCAAAAGATTCTTCAAACAAAATCGTCCTAACCGATCTCCGAACACCTCAACGGCCAGCCGGCATCTCAGACTCAGCTTCCAACCTAGAGCTCACAGCTGGAGACCTCACCTCACAGTCAGACATCGACAAACTTCTCTCCATGCGCCCACAATGGTCAGCGATCTTCCTATTCCACGGCATAATGTCCGTCGGCTGCGAAGAGAACCCCGCACTTTCCACCAAAGTCAACCTAGACGCCACGCTTTCCGTTCTTACATCCATCTCAAAACTCCAACAATCCACCAAACCCCGCATTGTCTACGCTTCTACCCAAGCTGTGTACGGACCACCTTATACGGCAACAGGTCCGATTACAGATGATACCCCTGCGACACCAATAGGCGTGTACGGCACCCACAAGGCCATTATGGAGAAGCACATTGATGATCTTAACCGTCGTGGTCTTATCGATGCCTTCTCCGTGCGTCTACCTACCGTAGTTGTACGTCCAGGTGCGCCATCGCGATCAGCGGCAGCATTTCTGAGCGGCCTACTGCGCGAGCCGCTAGCCGGGCTCGAATGCATCGTCCCCATTAGCGACCGTTCAGCGCGACAGATGATATGTTCGCCACGCGTCATGATCGAGAACTTTGTGCGCGTAATGAAGGCACCCTCGAATGCTATGCCCGAGCATATTCGCGCGGTGTACATGCCGGGAATCAGCGTCACGCTTGGAGACATGTACGCGGCGTTCGAGGCGGTGGTTGGAAAGGAGAAGCTGAGCCTGTTGAGGGAAGAGGTGGATGAGGAAGCAAAGAGGCTGCTGGATAGTTGGCCGCAGACTGCGGAGTTTGGAAATGCAACAAGAATGGGGCTGTTGTTTGATGAGAGTTGCGAGCAGATCTATAGAGAGTATGCTGATAGCTTGAAGGCATAGGCTCTGAAGTAAAAATGCATTACGAGTTTCAATCTCAACATTCCAAAGAATCATTGTATATCGCAAGGAAAGTTATCGCTTACTCATGTAACAGTCTCAAAATAGACGTCCTCCTCAGACCTTTCGACGTCCAAGTAACCCAGCTTCTCCATGTTTACCTCCCACCTCTTCACCTTGTCTTCTTGCGACCCGGTCAAGAGCTCCTCTTTCTTTCCGTACTGCCACCGGCTAAAGCCTCCAGGCCCATCAACCCGAGCCTTATACGTGCGACCAGTCTCCAGCCCTTCCATACTGCGAATACATCCCTTCTCGTTGTCTAGGTTCTCCAACGTACATTCGAAGCGCCATGGCCTGTCCGCTGAGATCTCCACGAAATCGTCATCATCTGGGAACTTTGGATGAGGATCACCATCCCAGCACGCGAAAACGGCATTCCATTCAACCTCCTCCCCGCTCTCATTGTCTCGACAATCGATTAATTCGTCAACACAGTTCAAGTCTCCAGAACAGAGTCTCGTGACCGAAAGTGAGGAGCGTGATTTATCGAACACGAGAGGCTCGGGACTGTCGGTCGTGTATTCGATGACGAGAGTGAAGGGGATTGGACTATGAAGATGAGCTTTGCTGGGCATCTCCAGCCTGGCGAAGATTCGCGGGGGCGCTGGATCGTCGTGGACGGTGAAATAGTATGTGCCACCTTCACGTCCAACGGGCAGCTTCTGCGCTGGTAGCAGGTTCTCGGGTCGATCATCGATCTCATCCATGTAACATGCAAACGCTTCGCCGCTGCTCTCAGACAACCGCAAACCGTAGGTATGGCCAGGCTGCAATACCTCTTTCCATGCAGCATGTGTGGCATCAGTGAATACGACGACTGATGCTTGCCGATGCTGCGGCGATGGTTTGGGTGGTATATTGCGCTGGCCTATCTGAGGCGGCGTGGCAGGTGGTAGCTGCACCACACTTGCATTGTCCTTGTCAGACTTCACTAGTTCGAATAACCCAGATCTCAATGCCGTTAGGAGATCCAGGTCCCCCGTGGTAGTGGCGAGACCATCACAAAAGAGAGTCATCGAGCGCTCTGTCTCGAAAGTCGTGATTACCATGCGACCTAAGTCCCAAAGTCTTTTGCGGTTCACCTGCAATATCTTATGGTGTTCCAAGTCTTCTTCATCATATCGTAGGCATAGGGTATTGCTGAGTAAGATTTGACTAGTCATAGTGAGCGAGTCCTGTCTGGTATGTACAGCGCAGGCCTGGGTAACGATCGAGAGACAGACGCTTAGGGGTAAATCGGGAGTAATCACGTAGCCGGAAAAGCTGCCAAACGATCTCTTGCCAGAAGACAGCAATCATGAATGTGACGACAATTGTAAAGGCTGTGCCGTGTCGATGTTCTAATAATTGTGTGACGTCATGTCAGACCTAGAACCCGAAAGGCCAGCGCTTGACGAATGACTAAGATGAACCCTCTCCGCCGCTTGGAAGCCTACACCGGTCAAGAGTTACTACTGAGGTACATCTACCAAGCTAGACCCCGATCGTTCCCACCCTCGAACAAACGAGATCGCAATCATTAGCGACCAAGTTGTCCTGACCGCGCTTCTCTTGACGATGACAGTTTCACATGATCATTCACTATCACTACCATGGCGACCACGACCAAATTCGATTAAGATAACAAGCTAGTCCGATACTCGCACATCGTTTACAAAGCTCATATTACGTTAGCGTCAGCGTTCCAGCTGAAACGAGCTTGTTTCGGACACAAGCCCTGTCCGTCGTAAGACACCTCTTCATGTTTGCGTTTCTCGACCTGCCGTGCCTGTTGCCAAGGTATGGAAGGACGGATGCTCGAAGACGTCAGGTCTCTTATCATTGGAAACCATCCGTCTTGCGACTGTACAATGTATTGCGATTTTGCTCGGCATTCCCTGTAATCGTCTTCGCGTTGGAGCGCTCGGTCGAGATCGGCGAGTTCGTCATCAGAGAATAGGGCAATAGGCATAGCAACTATCAGCAGCTGGGGAATTCCGGGTACATAATGGTCCGCACCATACTGCAAAGACAGATGGAGCATATCGCGAACGAGTTGTTTGAACTCTATGTCGTGTACACTTTGCTGGACGCCATTACGCATGGCTTCGAGGAGGACCTCCCATAGAGTGCGGTCACCGTGTGTGACCACGTTGGGATCTAATGCATGTTCAAGGAGGATGCGATATTGTTCGATACGCGGAATAAGCAAATCTTTTGACGATGATCGACCAGTTGCTAATTCCTGGCATACGCAAGTAAGCCATCCGTCAGGGGTCCTGTCGTTGTATACAACGGAGATATCAGCGCCGTATCGAAGGAACTCTCGTAAAATCTCGTGTTTGATGCGCTGCGAAGCAGTCGGCAGATGTAAGGAGTCACTTGCTAGCGTCCGTAGGAAGGCTTTGCTAAGCGTTGTACCTCGCAGCGTAGCGTTCGGGTTCAAGCCGCGGCTGAATAGGCGCTTGAAATATCGCAACGTGGTCCGCAGATTATCCTCTAATGTGGCATCTATGCGAGTCAGCATGCTGATCCAGCTGCTTATCGCCATGTTGACATCGACACCCTGTTCAAGAAACATTTCTAGAACAGTCCAGCATTGGTCTTTTCTTCTGCCGTCCATCGAGATTGTCACTTCGTCTGCGAAACTGATCCAATTGGATGCGCCATTAACGACAAAGTTAGGGTCGACTCCAAGTTCAAACAGTTGCTTTACCAATGACGGTATCATAGTAGTTCCAACTGCTCTTAAAAACGATGGAATAACCCGGGCTTGGCGATGCCCAAGAGCAAAGTGGCGTTCAACAGAGGAGGGTAGGCACAGTTCGTATGACTCATCAGAACCAACAGGGCAGGCTATTGCATGTTTGAGTATACAGTTGAGATCCAATACACTGCCATCCTTGTGCATCCGATAGCTCAGATAATTCGCGTAGCCAATGGAAGCTGCGAAACGGATAATGTCGCAGTTCAGACCGCATGCAGTGTGAAATGGCCGTGTGCGCTCATTTTCTAGCTCTGCCTGGTCGATGACTTCAAAGCAGTCAGCCGTGTTGCCTGTTTTCAAGGCGCCTTGGCTAGCTAACTCTACGGCCAGCTTCAGAGTAGAGGGACATGAGAATCTCTCGATGAACTTTGATTCGGCAATCAGAGCTCGACTTATACCAGTAAAGGTGTCAAGTTCATTTGACGCCCAGGACTCGAGTTTCTCCCTCATACGCTTTGTAGCGAGGAAATCATTCAATGTGCGGTGTAGGAAGTCCACTTTGGTCTGGGCGGAGACATCGGTTGGGGAAGCTGCCTCCAGCAGGCCCTTGAATCGACCATTGAGCCGTCTCTCGGTCTGTGTTGCACGTTTCTGTATTGAGGAATGTCGCCATCTCTTGCTGGGCATCTCGAAGCCGAAAGTTGTGTTGCCCTGTTCCAGAAAGTAGTAATGTATCAATTTCAGTTGACGAGGGCTTCGCATAGCGGCGAGGAATGTACCGGCCATCCGGCTCCGATAGATCCTTTCGACGGACCCCAGTATGTGCTCGAAGAACTCTTCTAAATCTGAAGGTATCGCGCGCAACCGCTCCTGAAGTAGGGACACAGGGTCCTCGTTGATCATGCCATTGCGGAGCGACTTGACAACAAGACGTACCCAAAGAAACACTCCCTGTGCTCGCTCTCCAATATCATGAATAAGATCATCGAAAAGATTCGGTTCGAGATCCGTGGTGCGATCGTATGATAGCAGATTCTCCCGTGCGAATAGTTCGATGTCTGGTCTTGTAAAGTCATGTAGTCGAAGCACGTTTGCGTTGGCCATTCCGAAGGAATCTTGAAAACAGTTCCAAGGCCTACTGGAAAGGCATAATTTGACGTTCGGAGTACTGGACAGGTCTTTCAGTGTCTCGATCACATCCCAACTGTCTCCATAATACTCGTCAAGACCGTCTATTTGAAAGTAGAATCGGGTGTTGACAGTAGATTGAGCTCGAAACAAGGCAAACGCTCTTTGTAGCTCTGAGAGATTCCACGGCTTTGGCAAGGTGATATCATGAGGCTGAGGTTCCGCGTTCCACCTTTCAGGACATATCGTTGGAGCCAACTCCGGGCAAGCATATAGTACATGGTAGAGGAGGGTTTGTAATAGTCCCTCTAGAGACTTTTGCATCTGTTGACCCGGCGACCAAAAGTAGAAGCACGCTCTGACCAACGGAACGTTTCCGGACCAAACTTGAAGGGTCCGGATCGTCTCATCATGTTCGTAGAGATGTTTCATTAATGTTGATTTTCCGGAACCTGACGTATCGTTCAGCTGACTGCTAGGTTTGTGGAATGTAGCTAGAACTCACCTGGCTTTCCCGTAATCCAGTAGATCCCACTGCCATGTTGCAGCCATTGTGCGAACCGAATATCCGAATTTGAAGCACCAATATCGGGAATACTATTGTTATACATCCAGGCAAAGGTCCTTTGGTGGGCATCTCTGATAGCACTTTGTCGTATATGCATACACTCATAGCGGAGACTCGCAATGATCATATGACACTGAGATGCTCGATGAACCTCCGAAGATAGTTGACAGAATCGATCATGAAGTTTCTTCCAGAAAGCATCACAGTGGAGAGCTGAGATGCGCTTCTGGGTAGCTTGGAGCTGGCTGTCCAGAGCCTGGATTTGTGATGTGATACCATAGCCTGTCTGTATATTCTTCTTTTTCCAATCCTCCAAGAGGTCGATAAGCTGGATCTGGTTGTCACTAGATACATCGGAATTAGTGTAAGTGCAAATTAGACACCGTCAAGAGACATTACTTCGTGTCGGAGACCAGATGCATCGTGACCTGATTTCTCAGGAGTTCCAGCCTTGCCTGCAGTTCTTCGATGTGCGCCTTTCCCCATACGAACTTCAGAGCTTTCCGAAAGCTCTGCCATCTCGTTGTTGATTTTGCAGATCGCGTCCCATGCTGCTTGTGCTGCAGTCCAGAAACTGCATCCAGGAGTTCCTCAGCAATGATATTGCAGCGTTCGGCGATGTTGCAGAGTCGCGATGGTGAGGCTGCATTCAAAGTTAATCTACTACTGAGAGCACTGATGTCCTGGGATACGATGGTGAGGTCGACATGCTCATTCAATGCGCCCGATACGGACTGACGTAGTTCCCTTGATTTCGACAGCAGCACAAAACTGAATGAGATGAACTGGATAATGTTTCCGGCGAGACCAATAGCGGCGAGACCTTCTGCCATGCTGATTGTGATCTTGCTTAGTGAGTCGAGAAGGCATGGCCGAGCGAGAAGCGGCCAACCTTCATTTCATAGATAGAAGCGATGCAGCTGCACAGCCGCTCCAGGTCACATCACAATCAGGCTGAACGCTATGCTGCTTTGTGGCGACCTATGATTCGATGAAAAGACGGGAACGGTAGCACGACATGATGCGTGCAGTCCGACAAACCAGAACGATGCTCTCACGCAGCGGCGTTCCGGTGAAGTGTAGCAGCTTTGGTTGGTGTCAATTGGAAGGCACGAGTTCTTGTGTTCGGCGCTGTCCGTGTGCCGACCATAAGAGCCGCAAGGCACATCCCAAACAACAGGAGCATGGCTCCACCATCATTGAGCCTACAACAAGCCAGTGCCATCGTTTACCGATTGCATGCGACAAAATTCGGATTGATTCAATACAAAGACAGCAAATTGTGTCATGCGGGTTCATGGTTGGCTCGCCAGAGCGACTGTCAGCCTCGCACGAGTGCCTGAAAATGTGAAACATTTTTAGTGCTACGTAGATTGTACACGCGATGATGCACGCGACGAGCCGTTCGCATCATCGTGGCGATTGTCTCGTGCCTGCTTTTTATACCCTTCCCCTCAACCACTCACCCGCCCGCTTAGCCATGTTCACAGCCTCCTGTTCAAACCCTAGAAGATGGCCAAGAAGAAGGATGTCATGTGGGACATGCTCCTCAATATCCAGCTGAATATCGTTCCCTGCTGCCTTCATCTTCTCCGCCCACTCCACAATATCAAAGTATAGTACCTCTCCGCCGCCCGTATTCACGAACATGGGCACTTTAGTCTTGAACGTCCGGTTCTTCTGCGACACGTAAGGCTGCGACAGGACCTTGTCCCCACCCTCGCCCGCATACGCGCTTGTGCCCCATGCCGTGAAGGGAGGCGAGATGTAGTCTGTAGCGTAGTTCCGGTTGTCGTGGACGTAGGAGCCGGAGGTATCGGCGGGGTTGGTCCATGGTGACCAGAGGAGCGCGCAGGAGGGGGCGGGTAGACCGAGTTCGGAGCCGTAGTCAGAGATGTAGCGGAGGAGTGCGATAGCGAGGTTGCCGCCTGCTGAGTCTCCTGAGAGGATAATGTTCTTTGGGGAGATCTCGAGGTCGTTCAAGAGGTATAGGTATGATGTCAGACTGTCTTGGAGGGCGGCTGGGAACGGGTTCGACGTCCTCGAGACGGGCAGGGTGGAGAGGCGGTATTGCGGACAGAAGATGTGCGTGGCTGGTGTGTGTTTGAGAAGTTTCTTTGCCATGGGTCCGCTGGCTGCTGTACGTCCGTCTCCTGAATTGAGTTAGTTACCCCCTCATTGCATAGTGAAAGCGGTTTGCTCACCCGTAACGAAAGCTCCGCCGTGTATGTGGAGAACGACCTTGATGTTCTTATCGCTACCTGTGGTCAACGGCGCAGGAAACCACGTCGCCCCGATTTCCACAGGCACAACGTCCTCGTTGCTTCTCAATGGCCCCTTGTATGCATCCTTCTTCGCCGGCTTGATGACTACGAAGCGTTCCTTTTCTTGTTCCGGTGTCAGGGGTAACGGCGTGGCAACCTGCACCTTGGACACGTGCCATAATCCAGAGAAGAATGCGTGTACGGTGATAGCCTGTCGAAGAGTCCAGCTGGGATGCTGGCGACCGAGCACGAGGAACTTGATGAGGATGATGGGGAAGCGCACGAGCTCGAAGCCCAGGGCGCCGAGCCCATAGATGGCCTTTACGGGGTGTTGCGTGAGGTCCACCATGGCGCTAGTGGCAGTGTAGACAGAGATGAGGAGAGCTCCATTGCGGGACTAGAAGTTTATAACACGATGACGATGGTGTGCCGCTTGCCTGTGATTGTTGAGGGGCGGCTGGTTTCGATGATCTGAGCCGAGGTCCTTGGCAAGGCTAGCTCACGATCTCCAAAGCTACCCCACATCTGTACCTTGACTTTTCCAACCTTTGCCCTTATCGACTTAGAGAAACGGATCTCAGGACGCATCGCGCTGGATCCGGCGATATCGCAACCCGTTTTCGAGCACGCAACAACGACCCGACGTCGGGAAGCTCACCTCCAGGTGACTTACACGTCCCGGACAATTCTCCGGCGTGCTGTCTTACCTTCGTCCTACCAGATTCCTCACAAACAGGCACACATGCTGAGACGCACTGACGCTTGTCACATGGGAATCTAGCGAGGCTGCCTCACCTCACTCCTATCTATCGCGGTAGCATCGATGTTGTTCAAAGAGTGCCTTTTTCTATTCGACACATAGTATCAGACGAATTTCGACACTGTACCAGGTTGCTCTCAGGAGAAAGAGCTTGGGATGCGTGACATCACCTTGCAGGTTCAAGTAGGCAAAGCGCTTTTCAGCTCTTTGCTGGATTTGGGCATCTCAATCTTCTTTATGTCTTTCCAACCTCAGTAAACCTTTCCTAGGCTCAATTCGTATCACAGCCAGCCGATTGCTGTTGCATGACGGGCTCATCTCCTTCATTTCAAGAGGAGCGCGGCGTTGACTGGTATCCTAAATGCCTGCTCGAGAATTATGGCAGTCATCTGACCGAAGTCAAGGGGACAGGTAAAGGTGCCAGTCGGATCGGGCTTGCATCTGAGCCTAAAGATTCTAACGACGTTCCTTCTTCGGCACAGGAGGTAAGTAGTCTTCATCAGGGTCTTCCTGTTTAGGCTTCCTTCCACCGGACTTCTTGACAGGCTTCGCAGCGGCGGATCGTTCCAGACCATAATACTTGATCAGCGCCAGGATATCCTCTCGCGTAGTGCATGTGTCGCGACTGAGCTTTGTGTTCCGCCCTTGATCAATACGCTCCCGAATCCTCTCTTTTACTTCGTCCAGCTTTCCTTCCGCAAGCCTTGCTAAATCCAGAAGGAGGATCAGGAATTCCTCGCCCCATATCTCAATTTCAGGGGTGTGTCTATAGCTGAGGCCATTTGGAAGGGCTTGGTGCACGTAATGTATACCCCATCGACTGCAAACCTCGTTGATCACTTCGTTCATGACTGGGTTGGGGGTCGGAGACCGTGACCGTTGCGTGTTGGGTGTCATAGTTGATGTCGATGGAGGAGTGCGTCTGAGGGCCTCGGTTGCGGGTCGCAATACGTTGCTTGGATCGTGCAGAGTCGCCGGTGGGTATAGAGAGACTGCGATCATATAGGAGCTGGCGGAATTATATCGTGTCGGGGAAAGACGTGTGACTGAACAAGGTCGCCATCAATCCGTGTGAATGAGGAGTAGCCACACAGAAGCTCGCATTTCGACTTTCACCAGAATCAAATCGCCTGCGGTCTACGACTCGCTCGCACCGGAGAAAGCGATGGCCTAGATGCATCGTAGGACTGCATGTCATACTCCCTACGCTTTTCCAGAAGGACAAGGTACAGTTCGCACACGATGCCATGTATTCGAACTAGAATATTAGTGCAGCTGTCGAAGGCCTGCGTATATAATATGTTCATGGTAAATCTTATAAGGAGCGGTGGCTGAGTCCTACACCCATCCCATCTCGTGATGAAACGACAAGTAGGACGACGTCCATCATTCGAATGAACAGCTTCTACCTAAGTGAAAAGCTAGTTTGATGTTTGTCTCCGTACAGTGAACCATGAATGTTCCATCGATGTCCAATCCGGCTTGCTGTCGAGCAAGCTCTTTGAGCCCTTCACACCTTCGACGCGAGTACGGGTCGTTGGAATTGAGTGAAAGCTGAAGCACTTGACTGTGAATGAGTACCGACACGTACAGTAATAATTCGATTATTCAGTCATACTTGTCTCTTGAACGTGGGAAGATGACAACGACCTGGAGGAAGAAGGGGAGATTTGCTTACTCAGCTTATCCCACCAACCCGAACCCTGGCGTCTTTCCGCTGAGAGTTCCAACCAACTTCAATCACCATGCCTTGCACTCAACGACCGGCATCTTTCCGCCGTCGAGCAATGCTAGAAAACCAACGATGCTGGTTTCCTCACATCACCATCTTTTGCGAATACACGGGATGCCAATGTCAGGTCTCAGCTATCAGCTGTCGCACCTGCCGGAAGCTGTCAAACGTAGAACGACCAACATTGCACATGCACGTTGAACACCGCCGCACTGTCTTCGCCCAAGACGTCAGACTAGCGCGCTCCTCGTACGATAAGCAAAAACAGAGAACAATGGGGACGTCGCATGCATAGCCTTGCTGGTTCTTATGCCTCGGTAGAGCATGTTGCCCCTTTTCGCAAGTCAGGCGCGCGTGGTAGCCCGTTCAACCAACGGCATCGCAAACTATGCGAGGGAGCATTCGTGCGTAGTCGCGAACAAACTGAAAAGTAACAACAATAAACACTCGGGCGATCTGGTCGTCTTTGTGATGTTGTATAGACTGTACGCTCTGCATGTCGAGAGCTCCGCCAAAATACTAGGTAACCGCATCCGTCGGCAATTCCGCCGAGAGAAGGCGAACCCCGACCACTTCTTGTCGCGTGCGCAGTCCGGAGATTTTCAGGACCAATTGACTAGAAGAAAATGCCAATCATGCATGGGGTTTATGATGCCAAAATTAGACGACAACGGTCTAAGATCGTTTTCTAGACGAGGCTGTCCTAGCTCCTCGGTGCGAGTAACGGCAACCCCACACCTTCCTTGCTCCATCCTACATCGTATCCCGAACACGAACTTAGTCGCTGCGACGGGCACTATGGCAGCCTTTCCCGTATGCGCATTGATCATGCGCCGTTTAAGATACCCCCCATGGATATCCTTTAATAGCATTGCGCATCCCTAGAAAACTTATATACCGCTTCTCTGCGCAAAGGTCTCCGCCATCATCACCCGACATTCGTCTAGTCATTCGTTAAAATTCCCAACCAAAACAATCATGAGGAGAAACCAACTAATCAGCCTCGCGCTGCTTGCACCAAGTTGTCAAGCATACGTCTGGCCCAGCAAGTACGACCAGCTCGATGACCTCTTGTATCTGCAATCTGGCTACATCAGGAACGGAGAACTCTCAGATCGTACGTTTCTAGTTCCCTCAGTATATGCCGCTCGAAACTTACACAACAATAGAGGTTATGACCTGTGGATTCGGCGCCGGTCAACCAGGCATCCAAAAGGCCGCAGAATGGGTGCGAACGAACTTCCACGACGCTGTCACCCACGATGCTGCAACGGGGATTGGAGGCTTGGACGCTTCGATCCAATACGAACTCGACAGACCAGAGAATCTTGGCGCTGCGTTGAACAACACCCTATCCGATATGGCTAGTTCAGTCAACATTCGAAGCTCTGCAGCCGACGTTTTGGCCTTATCATTGGTCATGTCTGTGGCTCGTTGCGCTGATATGCGCGTGCCATTACGACTGGGGCGCAAGGATGCGGCGGAGGCAGGTATCAAAGGCGTGCCAGAAGCGCACACCGACCTCGAAACCACAAGGAAGAGATTTGAAACTGCCAGTTTGACAGAGAAGGAGATGATCACTTTGATTGCTTGTGGTCACAGCATTGGTGGTGTTCACTCAGTCGATCACCCGGAGATCGTTTCCGGTCCCGTCACTGCCGAGAACAAGGCAACTTTCGATACGACGAGCGGAGAGATGGATAACAATGTGGTACTGGAGTACCTCAACAACTCGACAGCAAACCCCCTGGTCGTCAACGCCAACAACACGTTGAACTCCGACAAGCGCATCTTCCTAGCCGACGACAACGCGACCATGCGCAAGCTTGCAGACAAGGCCTACTTCAAGTCGCAGTGTGAAGCTGCCTTCGAGAAATTGATCCACCTCGTGCCAGGAGATGTCACACTAACAGAGCCCATGGAGCCCGCAGACATCCGTCCTTACATCACATCCTACCAAATCAAGGATGGAGCTGTCGAACTATCAGGACGTCTTCGCGTCCGAACAACACCAGTCACCGGCCGTGACGGCAACTCGCTCACTGCTTCTCTCATTCCAGTCTCGCGCAACGGCACCGCACCTACCGAGATCGTCGCCAACCCCGCTAGGTTCAAGGGAGGAGTGTCTTTTGGATACCTAGACGAAAGATTCCAATGGTTTGAATTCGACCAGACGCTCAACGCTACCGATGCGTTCGAATCCTTCACCATTCGCGTCAACGATGAGACCTACGACAACGGCGGCACAGGCTCATACCCGATCAATGCCGACGTCCTCTACCAAAATGCACAGTCATGCACAGTTCATGACACGGCTACAGATGAATGGAGATTGACTGTGACTGCAGCCGTTTCAAAGTCTCTTCTCCAGGGTGGTGCTACACCACAGATCAACGTTTCGAAGAAGTCCAAGGTTCAAGGCCTCGTCATTCCTCGTCTGATGCCAGATATCGTCGAGATGACGCGTGCAGGCAAGGAAACTGCGGAGTATGTTTACTATACTGCCACGACGGTCTTACCTGTGAGTGGGCTTGACTCTACTTTTGATATCGAGGTTGGCAACTCCAAGGTGGAGTTTATCAACGCGAATGCTCTTACTCAGCAAGCGTGTGCGCCGTTATAGATACCCCATATGTAATGAACATTGTTGATCTCTTCGATTCTCGAGCCTCTAATAGCTACATGGAGGTATATCGTTCCGTGAAGTACAGGTATAGATCTCAGAATACGCTGGTGATACGTCAAGCAGATGAAACACACTAAGTCAATGTCGCCATCACGCCTTGCTACTATTGACACTACTACTCCTGCTCACAACCCTAGCTCGATAGCAGCTTCCTCGATTTGCATTTCTGTCTTGTATAGCTCCATTTCAGTCTCGACGTCTCCCCTTCTCTGCTCGGCCCAAGCTAGATGATCTTTGTATTCACCGTAGAAATCGGGATCTGTCAGCCACCAATCGAGCAACACCACGTCAACACCGTCTTCGATGGCACGGAAGTCATCATCGTATGACATCCTGAATACCTGATCATCGTGGTCGATAGAAGTTATGTGAAAGCGTTCCAGTTGGAGCTGAAGTATGATCTGGCGTAATGGCGAACAAGCTCCAAAAGACCGGGCTAGAAGTCCTAGGTATATACCGACTTCGTGTGCGTCATCCGATGATTCAAGAATAGCTCTTACAAAGTCGTTTCTCAACTTTCGCGTGGATGGGAGTGCAGCGACGCCGGAGTCATTATAGACAAGAAATTCGCTCATGTTGAATCCACGCTTCATGAGAGTCTCAACAGAGACTCTATAGAAGAAGTATTTCTCTGGGATCCCCCACTCGAAAAGGTACTCGTACCGCAGTCGGCTAGGTTTTTCCATTTTCCCCTTCCTGGCCAGACCCTCCGCATGATGATACCTGACATGCTTGTCTGCATTGGGCACGTAGATGAAAGCAATCCAGATTTGGCTAGGATATTCTCTGTCTTCGTAGAATTTGTTGAAGGCGCGCCTGAGGGTATCAAGTATGCGGCTGCTAACGGAAACGAGGGCAGTCGGGTATGTCGTGCGCAGATTCAAATGATTAATAAACTCAGTGAGAAGGTTGTCGCCTAAGGGTCGTCCTTGCCCAGGACCTTTGCCAGAGATGAGGCCGCCAGCGCTTGTTTGCGAATAGCATCGATAGAAGTAGCTTCCACAATCGCTCATATTTGGATGTGTTTGGTGTGGTGGACATGATTAGGAACCTCTACTTGCAAGCACCTCAGGACTTGTTCCCCGCACGAGCAGGGTTGGTGGTACCAATCAGGAACCTTGCCTGATTTCGGAGCTACGTAGATATGGTTATTCCTGGCCCCGCTTTAAAAGTAATACGAGCATCGTGTCGTAGGAACGATAGCACGCATGTGACGATGGACGCCTTTCCTCGATAGAAGCAATACAAACATGATACAAATAGTTCACTCAAGTGTCCTACTCCATCGCGCTGCTAGAGAGGTTTAGCGCGCGATCACGGTGCTCAGTAGTATGCAATATAACACCACATCCCGCACTCGCTAGTCCTTGAGGTGCATGAGTTTCTTGAATATCTACGAGACCAAGCCGAGCTCTAAGTCTTCCTAGTCATCTACTAATACATCATCCCCACCGACCACACCAGGAACGCCGAACCATGCAACCCAAACCTACAACTTCGAAGACAACTTCCCACTCTTTTGCGCCGTGTACGTGGCGATGAGATCCATCAGCGCTGGGCTCAACACATCATATGTCTGCAGGCCCTCCTTCTTAAACTTCTCTCGTACGGCGTCCATGTCCTTTGGATTGAAACCCTGCTCGATGATGCTGCTGACGAAGGCGGCGAACTGGGGCTCTTGCCATCCCTTCTTGTCACTGAGCTCGGTATGAACGAAGTCCAGGCCCTTGAATGGATGGTCGACGACGATGCGACCGAAAAGGTGGACGCCGCATTGCTTGCAAGCATTGCGCTGGATAGCCGCTGATTCGTCGACGATGTGCAGCTTATCGCCGTTGGCAGTCACGGAGACTTGATCCTTGGGAATGACACCGACGACTGAGAAGAGAGCGCCTTTGGGCTTCCAGCATTTCGAGCAGCCGCAGGCGTGGTTGTGCGCGACGTTGCCGGCGAGGGTCACTTCGACCTTCTTGGTGGGGCAATGGCAGTAGAGCTTGCCGCCGGAGAAGTTGGGGTCGCCCTTCTTGATACCGTTGTCGATGGCGGGGTGGATAGACGGCATTATGGTTACTGATACACTGGTAATTTACTTGGAATAAGAGGTGGTTGTATGAGATTATCTCGAGGGTAACAAAGTCGCAGATACTCAGGTACCTGGACGCACACTATATACGGGTCTTTGTTCCACATCGAGACTATCACCCCCTCACTGGACTGCGCAACCGATCAAGAAAGAACCGCCCAAATATGTGGTGCGACCGCATGCAATACTGATGGTATTGTGGACATGAGGTGCGGAGCCGCATAACGTTGCCGCTTTAGGTCACTCGGCCCTTCCCCGCCTCGCATTGGAGATTGGCGCGATACAGCTGCCTGCTGCCGTGGAAGCCATGCAACTGTTCATATTCACTCGGTTTCGCAATCATGAAGAGGACATATTGTCACTATAGTTCACAGACGAGGCTGGCGATATGACAAACATTAGATTCGGTGGTGTTGCACCTGCGACGTGGAGGCTGCCTCGTATCGGCGCCCGCCAAACTCCTGACTTTCGCCACCTTTCCCTCCCACATCCCATTTGAGGAACTCCAGCGAGAACTTTACACACATACCTTTCGCGACGACAACGCAGTAGCCTTAGCCCTGTCACTCAGCGATGTCTGAGAAGACGACCCCAACACCAATGAACAGCCGCGCACAACTATCAGTCCGCCCACCCGGCGACTTTGCATCGACTAAAACCCGTGGCCCGTCTCCCTTGAATTCCACACAGGCAACCAGGGCATCTCAGACCTTCGGCGCCATGGCTATGATTATTTTAGGCTGAAGCAGGAAAATTTCGTTCTTGCAGCAGCAGCTTCTTTCTTCACCCTCGGTCGACACTCCTTAACATCCACTATGAGCTGCGCAAATATAGCTTTGCCTTCAAACAACAGTTCAGTATCTCTGTACTCACCTTCGATCATCACGAAGTGGCTCTAGCATATCGATAGAGCTCATTGGTTCACCTCTCCTGGATTTTGTGTCATGATAAGGACACTGGGGCGGGGTGAGGAAGTGTCGAAAGTAGTGGAGAAGGAAAGTTACGTGCTCATCCGACATATGCGTGACATTGGACGAGTCCGACAAGTCTAGGATACACCATCGCTCAAAGCAGTGCTGATGAAAGAGGGAGAATCATTTACCACGGGACAAAGGGACAGGAACCATAGATGCAGCTACCCACACGCGAGGGACTGATCTCGCGGGTATAATGCAAATTCCAGAAGTTCTGAGCAGCTACTCTACTCTACGCTGTCAGAGTGCCACAGGACTAAATGGGTAAGATAGTTTCAATTTATTTATCGCATCTCCATGGGATGGAATATATACCCTTCTCGCAGTTTCATCACCCCGCTCTCCTGCCCTTCTGCTCTTTCCGCCTCCGTTCTCTATTAACCCTAGAAGTCAAAACATATCTCTTATACTTAAGTATCCTTTTCCTGTAGCTAGCCACAAGCTTCCGTCCTACAGACCTCTCATAGGCTTCTCTAATCCTATAAAGTTCTATCTCGCCCTCGATAAACTTCATCTCTTCATCTTTGGATACATTAGATGGCCATTCGGGGAATGGAGGCCATGTAACGTCTTGTACGAAGAGTTCTTCTATGGGTGTGCAGCTGCGGTCTCGTCGTTGTGGTGGTCGATGTGATTGCAATTCATGTTCGCGACGGCTGGGTGGAGCGTGCGATGATTCATCTGGAGATGATCGCCTCGTATAGTGGCTTCGTGGGTGATGCCTTGGAAGTGGTGATGGCAAGCTTGGAGGATATGGGAGTTGTGGTCGTGAGCTTGGCGGATATGGACCCGGCAAACTAGAGCTAGACCCCGACGACAATGACGACGACGAACATCTTACTTTCTGCGGCGGTCTCTTGCTACTACTCCCACTACTTTGCCCTACTATTCGCTGAGCGATGAGCTTCCTGGCCTCTTCCAGACCCCCGGTAGCATTTGCAGTGAGCTTTGTTGGCGTGAAGGGAAGGCCTCTCGAGTGCGTCCTTTTCGAGCTATCCCCGCTTTTCTCCGCTGTCTTTTGCTCCGCGAGCAGCTGCTTGACATGAGCCAACCGTTCGGTAGCACTGTGGGCAGATTTTGGTGGACGAGGGATAAACGGGAAACTCATGGGATGTGGATTTCCTGACATTGCTCTTGCAATTTACTTAGCAGCTCTTTCTTCGATCTTTGCCAAAGGGTATATATCGGTAATATTGAGTGGCATGTAGGTGTTGGTGAGATCATGGGCTAGCGATGATGTTTGATTGGCATGCCGACGTTTTGCTGGGTCGAATGTAAGTTCTGTGGGTGCGATGGTGGTGAAAGAAGCTGGCGTTGTGCAGTTTTGGACAAAGACGACAATGACGTGACAAAGGAGGTATCCGGTGTTGAAAGCAAGGTCTTGTCCACGCTTGGTATTATAGGTTGTTGTCGCTATCCCGTCATTCTTTCATGTCGCACTTGATGTGTCAATTCAATGCCAAGGGGTGTCGTCGATGAATCAGGGAGTCGGTCTTTGACATCGTTGCTGCCGGGCCATGTTTGTTCAACCCGGATCTCGGACCACCAGCGCAAATCGTTTGACTTGTTCCAAATGTTGCTGGTAGTACAGTCTTTCTGCTCTTTCTACTGCCTTATCCTCTCGAACCTGCTCGCGCCTAACCCTCCGATATAGCCTAACCAGATCACAAACAGTGACGCACAGCAACCGAGTCCGTCTTCGCTGATGTCTGAAGTACACCATATCGCGCATCTGCTCTAATATCCGAGCCATGATTCGTGCATTTGTGAGAAGCACAAGACACTCGAGTCGAATCTGGAATATGCGAGACCAGAGGTTTGCACGGTGCTCGCCGTGAGGGTGGAGGTCGTATGGGATTGCGTCGCTTGCGTCTTGGAGTTGCCAGATGCTGTTGATATTTTGCAACATGGCAGTGCTTGCTCCTGGGAGTGTGAGGCGGGAGGTTTGAGGGTGAGTCATTGTTATTTGAGATGGAAGCTGGATGGTTGTAGAGACAAGCTTTGGTGCTGGGAATATGGCCTTTGAAGTCGGTCTGCATAGCGTGAAAGCGTTGTTATAATCGAGTACGTGCATGAGAACGTTGGCAAACATGGAATACCTTGGTTCAAAGTCTTGATTACTTCGGTTCTGCCGGGATGGTGAATGGTACTCAACTTCTTAGCCTTTAGCCAGTAGCGGCATTTCAACTTCCTCACACTTCCTCCACCCAATAACGAAATTTCTATTCGTCACGCAACATCGTTTCTCACTATTCACACTCTACCAATACGCGATGAATTTTTCCAAGCTTCAGAACATGACCGCGAAGATTCTAGAGGATTGGTACATTACGGACGTGCGCTATGCGTTCCCTGTTCAGTTACGGCCACCCCGTGGAACCACTATACCCCCAATGCTCATCGCTGCGCTGTCCGATCTATCAAAGATCTCAAAAGGTCAGGTCGAACGAGTAAGAAATCCGCTGCGCGATGCAGTTCGAAAGCGATACAGTCGGTCGATGCTTGTAGGACAGACCGCTGTGACGATGGCGGATGTGCTGAAAGCAAGGGATTGGATGTTGGCCCAGATGGAAGAGATTGAACGCGAGCAGTCGCCTCCAGAAACTGGTAACGACACGATTACTACCGGGGGCGACCAGCCAACGACCCCATCGTGACCACCTAGAACCGACCGAAAGCCACTCAGACCACAAACTCCAGGGAGTACTACAGTCACAACAGTTCAGAACCCAGAGACTTCACCTGCGAGGCCGTCACGTTCGAACAGCTTCCTTTGTCTCGAACACGCTGGCGTCGAGCCAGCCGTTCCAGTCGACAGACACCAATCTCCATTACGCGCGATCGGCGAGACCTAGTCATCGAGCCCACCCACAATGTGCGAACAGCGACCCAGCCTTGTGTTACTGAGGAAGGAACAGCTGGAGGCGGACATGCAACGGCTATTCGCCCGAGAGAACGACCATAGACGGCGGGTGGAAGAACACCGCATCAGAGCAGTTCGCCACGAACGCAGAGCTCTTGTGCTGATGGTGCGAGTAGCAGATCTAGAGACGCAATTGACCGGCCCAGACGACGAGCACCCAGGCTGACATCAAATCGCCCCAATAATCGACCCAAGTCCACCTATCCTGCGTGCCCATCGTGTCATCGTATCCACCGCATCCTTCCTAAGCTCCGGCGTGGGAGCCGCAAAAGCCACAGCCATGACCGGCGCAATACTCCTCAACAAGTCAAACCCCGGTGTCTGTGCCTGTTCAATCTCCGCAGCAGCCTCGATGATATCCACCGTAGCTTTCGTAGCGACGTCGTAGTAATGCTTGGTAGTGTTCTCATACGGCTCCATTGGCGCCGTCGCTTCTGTATGCATCTTATACATGAGCATGCTCAGCACAAGGCGATCGGCCATGTAGTTTGATGCGATCAGTGCTACGAAGGTATTAGGGGAACTGGATTTGGGGGATCCTTGTCTGGGACCTTTCGACGTACCCCCCTCGCCAGGTGTTCCATGTGGGCTTCTGGATACGCTGGTTAGGTGGGGATATGTTGCTGCCCAGTCGTCGAGTTGCCGGATTAACTTGCAGGCGAGTTCTTTGCAGGGCCGGATGTCGACGTGGGAGGGGATTGGCGTGGAGAAGAGTACGCGCATTGAGCCGGGTATCTCGAGCATGGCGAAACAGTGGGGGACCATGAGTTCGATGTCTGCGAGGGTTTGGTGTGCGTCTCGGGGTTTGCCAATGAAGGGTAAGGTCATCCAGTCTGGGGAGGCGTAGACGGACTTTCGGTTGAAGACTACGGATTTGTGGGCCTGGGGTGGTCAGTATCGCGTTTTAAACGTGTGTTGGACTTGATAGTACATCAGAACTGCGAATTCCCTTGAACAGCGGCCAGATGGCGCCTGACCCGCAGTTGCTTGGACCGCGCATATTCATGATCTCAGCCGCAGCCGCGATATGAGACATCGCACCCGTCGCCGTCGCCCCTACATACAGTTCGTACAACGACATGATAAGAGGCACCATAACCTCTTCTTCATCAGGAATAGCATCGTTCTTCAGTCTCGCTATAGACGTTCTTTGAGCGCTCAAAGCCACGGTATACCATCTCCAGGAGTCGACCAGAATGCTCGGATCATGATGTTGCTTCCCGAAGAAGGCCATGGAAACTGCGCGTAGAGACAATCGAACCGCCGGCTTTCTTGCGTTGCTGTGAATTTCGTTTATGTGGCCAAGCCATTGGATTTCTGGTGCGTACTGACTTCCGCCTTTGTTGAGCTCAATGTAGTGGGAGAGGAAAGCGGTATCTAGTGCTTCTGGCAGGACTCTTGAGGGTTGGTTCAGCATGGGAGGTCTGTATTGGTAGCGTATGGCTACGATAGCTTGCTCTATCTTCTCGTTGTCTCTACTCTCAGATGGTAATGCCGAGTATGAGGAAGATGGCTGGTCAATTGGTGTTGGCTTGCTTGAGGCTTCGCTTTGGGCCAGGATTGTATGTGGCGTTGCTGATGACTCGCCATCTTCTTTCCCGCGGACTGCCAGCGCAGCTCTTGTTGTCTCTTTCTTCTTCCGCCCTCTAGGCTTGGCCACTCGCTCCGTCATGTCGATGACAATGGAGCCTTGGAGAGCACCAGAGCAAGCAAGGCCGAGACGCCGACATTGGTTGCATATGTCGGGTGTTTCGTCGCACTACATCACGGATTAGTTGTTAGGCACTGAATTGCGGATAGTGAGTAGATAGACCTTGACGCGTCTGGATCGACATTGAGCACAAGCTCTACTGCGCTGGGATTTGGGAGGCATTTCGTCTATATAGGCAGGCCAGGCTGATGCTGCACGGGAAGTGAAAGAGGGAATTCGCGCGAGGTAGACGAGGGAGGGATACAGGGGTAGTGGTAGTCGGGCAACTTGATGCGGCGCAGTCCCATTTGTTCATGCTGATTGGTAGCGGTATAAGGTTTCGGAAGACACCTCTAGTATAGTGGGGAAACCGCGAGGTATCGCGTGAATTTCCGCAGCGAGTCTAGCACGTGCTGTAAGGGTCCAGCGCGTGCATTGGAGCGGGTAAACATGGCGACTGTCATTATCAGCATCAAATGTTTAAGTATCGTGTTCAACTTCGTTGTGAAGAATGTGGTAGATGTGCGTATGGAAAGGGGACGTTGTGATATAAGCTCTCTGTTGACATGGCCTATTGTCTACACTAAAGACTGACCATGAGCATCTCGTAGTGCAGGGTCACCGATCTTCTTAGTCTGCCATGTGCGGCATCGTATTGATGTCAAGAAATTGAGACCTGATACTGAAGATGCGACAGAAGCTTACCTAGATAAAGACTGCATAAAGGGTATCATACAAAAACATCTCCATGCCCATCTCCATGCCCATGCCCATGCCCATTTACCACCTACTCCCTCCCCAACTCAACAATATCTTTCATTTCCAGCAACCATATCCCCCCGTCCCTCTTCCCGTCCAAACACCTCACCCCCGCCTCAACCGCGGCCCTCGCAATCATGGCCGCATCCTGCGCCCACCAATCCGTCATCTTCGGCGTGAGACCCCTCAACCCCTTCGCCAGCGTCCTGAGCGCCGCCTCAGCAGGCCTCGAGTCACTCCTCTCCCCCACAATCAAGCCCGGCCTTACAATGACCGTATGCTTAAACCCCAGCCCCTTGACCGCTTCCTCCAACTCGCCCTTCATCTTCGGGTAGGCAAAGTAGGCCGTGGGATTTGCGCCGTTGGTGGAGATGAGGACGTAGGTGTCTACGCCGGCTTCTTTCGCTGTCTTGGCGAGAGAGAGGTTGAGGTCGTAATCAATCTTGCGTTGAGCTTCGAAGCCGCCAACTTGGGCGCGCGTTGTGCCTAGGGCGCTGAAGAAGACGCGTGGGTGCGAGGACGAGGGGAATTGCGCGGGCCATGTGGAGGACTCGGGGCTGGTTATGGGTTGTAGCTTTGTGGAGCCTGCCGGGTTGGGGAGGTCGCGGCGCGTGTAGGCGTGGATGGCGGAGAAGGAGGGGTGCGCGAGGAGCGTGGAGAGGATGTTGGAGCCCTGCGTGTGTGTTAGGAGTGCGTGATGGAGTTATTGCGGAGTTGTAAAGGACGTACGACGAGGCCTGTGCTGCCTGCGAGTACTGCTGCCGCCATTTTGCTACTTTGGTCGTGGTCTGGGTAGTAGTAGGATGAGCTTCTCAGTATCAAGTGTGTGCGCGTGGTGTTGTCAGTCAAAAGTTTCGCCGCGTCTGTAGGCGCGGAAATTCGTCCGCGACCCTGACAAGCCGACCGAAGTGCGTCATCGTCGCGACAGGTCTCTCTCTCGAAGCTTCATCATCAAAACTGCACCGCACATGCGACAAGCAATAATCGCAGATGTAGAGGAAGATGATTAGGCATGGAAGCAGCTTCATCCAGTCGTTGTACGCTTACCATACAGTTTGCTTTTTCCACAAATCCTTGTCACACCACAATCGTGTCACCAGCACGCCGCAGCACCCCTGAGTCATGCCGTCGGCGGCTGCCGACCCTGCCCTGACCGAATGCCTCACACCACTCTCTCGCGACCGTCATTGCATCCAAAGTTTCGTGCGGATCTAGGCCAATGGCAGTCCCCGGAAACAGGCGACTGCTTTCTACGGCACTTGGTTCTGTTGCCCGATATGGTCGTGTTTTGCGGCTGACTGTCATTATGGTGTCCCATCTGTCAGGCCAGCCGTTCGGGTTGCGGCGTAGGGCTGAGGAGGATGAAGGTGTCACGCCATGGTTTGGTGGTGCCATCGCGGGCTGGTGAGGGTGATGGGTTTGGAGGTTTGGAGGCTACGTTTGATAAATGAGACGTCTTCTTCGGGATTCAATACTTCATCACAGCAGTCATAATCAGCATAGCTACTACGACAACAGCAACAAACACACTACTTCGTACCCATCCACATACGCCAAAAGTACACGAGCATCATCATCTCCTGTCTAGGACCATAAAAAAAGTACTTTGACACCAATTTCATTTCGACAAAGACACCACCCAAACAACCACAAACATGCCATCACCAACCCAAGCCCGTCTCCTCTGGCGCACTCTATCCCGCAACATGGTAGAGCCCCACCCATTCGCTCGCAACCCCATTACCATGACTCCTCATGCATGGCGAGCTGGCGATCTCTCCCGGAAACTAGTAAAGACGAGTGCTGTGTAAGTTTCCCACAATTAACCCCTCATATCGTTCCGTATGCCCAATCATATTCTGCTTGGAGATCTATTGCTGACGAGCATGAAGTTACTTCCCTTTCTACGCAGTCATCTTCGGTTGGCCGGTCGCTGCGTCGTGGTGGTTCAACGGGAATATGTGACTCTCTTCTGCTTCGGGAGAGGGCGAGGGGAAAACAGAAAGGAAAGGGCTGAGTAGCAAAGAGGTCGAAGATTTGATACTGAATATGCGATGGGACGATTGATTTTTTATACGCATTGGGATGGAGTTCGGGTGTTTCAGATGACGTATTTTTGTTCATGGGAAGGAATTCAGCACTACCAATGGTATCTTGTTCAAACATGTTTTGTGTTTTCTTTAACATGGTAAGGGATTTGTGAGGACTATCAATGCAACATCTAGATTCTGTAATCACATATTCCCATCGCCCAACACCCTACAGGTCCAGCACAATCCTCCCAACCCCCCTACTAACACAACTCAGCATACTCGCCTCCTTTTCCTCATCCATCAAACCCGTACCCCGATGTTCCACCCGCCCACCACAAACATCCACCCTGCACGTCCCGCAGTTACCCACCTCGCACGAGCTATCGATATCCATACCCACAGCCTTCAGCGCATCAAGCAGCGACTCCGTAGGTCCTATCTCCACCGTCTTCCCGCTCTGCTTGAGTTCCGCAGTAAACGGATCGCCAGATGTAGCTACAGTGAAAGCTTCGATGTGTACAGAGGACTCTGGTATACCGTAGGATTTGGCGATAGCGATAACGGCGTCCATGAGACGTGTGGGACCGCAGGTGTAGATGTGGGTTTGATGGTCGGCTTTTGCAAAGATAGCGGTCAAGTTCAGACGCTGGCCTTTGGATTTGTTGTAGATCGTTGCTTTGGATCCAAGAGCGGCGATTTGAGAGGCGAAGGGTACTTCTTCTGCGACGGCGTAGTGGAGATGAAAGTCTTGGTTCGCTTCTTGGAGATAACTAAAGGCTGTCATGAAGGCTGTGATGCCAATGCCGCCCGCGATGATGATGTGTCGATCTGCGTCTTTGGTGAGAGGGAAGCTTGCTGTGATACGGCCAATGGTGAGTATATCCCCAACTTTGGTCTGCTCGTGAAGGTACTTGGAGCCACCGCGACTTGATGGGTCTAGAGCGACACCAAGCTCGAACCGCTTTGAGTTCCCACTCACAATAGAGTAGGCGCGTACCAACTTTCCTCCAAGCTTTAGCCGCACGTGGCTTCCAGGCTCGACGGGCGGCGGCTCTGGGACGTCTTCAGTGGATTCGAAGATGAAGGCCGTGACAGCCCTCGTTTCCCTCCGTTTCTCAACAAGACGGTATTCATTCCACGTATCCATCTTCTCGTCCTCGCCACCAAACAACCTGCTATTGTGGTCTTCAACAATACCTCTGTCTAGACGCTTTTGGAATTTCCCCTTGATGTCCCATCCGAGTTGTGGAAGCTGAACGATCTCCTTCATCATCTCCACGTTATTTGTCTCGATGAAAAGGTAGTACATGACCCTGGCTATCGTCCACTCTGGATGCGGTCGCTCGAGTAGGGAGATCATGTCGCCGGCGGTGATGGTACCGGTCTTGATGATACGGTACAACCAGCCTGTTCGGAGTAAAGTCTGTGTGCGCTTGGCCATGTCTTTGACTTCGAAGCGATGATTGAGCTTGTAGCAGGGGCCTCGTGGCTCGCTGACTTCGACGATGATTTCACCGATAGCTAGTCGATCCCCAATGCACAAGTTCATCTCGCTGACTTCGGTGTTGAAGAGGTTCTCGCCAAAAGCGCCGGGCTTGAAGTGGGGTTCTGAAGCGGGTAGCTCCTTCTTCCACTCATCGTAATGCGATGTGCAGTAGTGGAGGAGCGCTTTGTCCGGGCCGCCATGCAGGTGGAATGCATGTTCATCAGTCGGAATACCAAGCTCGGTGATTTCGACTGGACCCGTCAGCGATCCTTTGTTGATGGCAGACTCGATCTTCCCATTTCCAAGCGACTTCTTGATCTTGCCAGCGCGTAATTGGATGAGGGGGAAGGGTTCGAAGGGCGCTGGGTTGACCAGTGTGTCGGGGTCTGGGGGCGGCGGCGGTAGCCAGGTCGAGACAGGCATGCTTGATGTATTAATTGGGGTGGGTTGAGTACGTCGAAGCAGAGACAGTGAACGGAGCTGCAATCCTTCGATATCCACAAACGTTCCTTTACTCTAGGCGTAAGGAATCGGTGCTCCGTGCTTCAGATCGAGTCAAAGGGAATGGACAATGGCTGTGTCGATCAAGAATGTGCAGTGAAGAGAAAGCTTCTTCTACTTCATACGATAGCTTCTAAGATGTTGGAGCAGTCATCAGGCGTGCAACAATCGCCTGCGGAATCGCCTGGGATGGGTCTAGACTCATCGTAAGCTATACTATACTTAGAAGGCGCATGCGGAGATTGTGAATCTCAAAGAAAAGTCGATGGGTGTTAGAGACAGCTAGAAGCACAACTTGGTAAGCAGGAGTCATGTTTGACCTTCGTCAAAGCCTCGTGACCGCGCTACCCAGAAGGCCACAGTGTATTGCTCAACTGTTGATTTCCTGTCCATCTCCGATATTTCAGTCCTTATCATGTTCAATCCATCGTGTAGGGTTTGCCACGATGCTGCCTGTCCAACAAAAAGCTTGATTCGAATAAGGCGCCAAACTACAGGTGACGGGGTCGGGCCTCGGAGAGGAACGCAACTCCCCGAGCCGGCCGGGTGCGCGTCAGTTTGTTCGGAGGTCAGTCATTTACCTAACCAAGTCTGGTTGTAGGTTGTTCGAGATGTAAGACGCGGCTAAAAGCTCAGGTGGAAGTTCAGATGATAAGACGCGTCGCATGTCACGTGGGAAGCGGCCTCGGCTGCAGTTTGGTGCAACTGACGTCAATGTGAGGGTCCGTGGACAAGCTCCGAGCTACAGCATCAACTCGTCACCGCGATCTCAAGACACTCAATTGCTGTTGACCACGCAATTACTCGACTTCAAACCCTCAAATTTCAATACGTCCAATTTACTCAGTCGAAAACCATCAACTGTCCCACAACACAACCTCACAATGTTCCGCATCCAACACGCACGCGCCGTACAACGCGCAGCCTTCTCTCGCCCTGCCATCGTTCGCCCTCGCTTCCTCAGCACAACAACAGCACGCTTCGCTCAAAAAGATGCGCAAGACAAAGACTCGCTAAAGCCCCGATCGACCGAATACGCCAAGTCTGGCTCCGACGATGGTGCTGCACACTCCGATGCTGCCTTCGACCCCAAACAGACCAGCCCAGAGGAAGCAGAAGCAACCGCTGAGAAGGAAGCTGGAGGCCCACAAAACAGCTTGAACGCCAGCCCGGGCAACAAAAAGGTCAGCGAACCCAACAGCCCAGACGTTGGTGGCAATGGCGGAGCGCCGGACAAGAAGAGCAGCGGCGGAGGCAGCGCGCCTAAGAACAGCACAGGATAGATGTACATCACACAGACGGAACAGCCGTAATGAAGGGCTGTAGCAGGCAGAGATATAGGGTAGCTATCGAAGGTAATCTAGGGCGCATAGGGATCATCACATCACAGCATCATAGCATTGGGAGTTGCATCTCAGAGCACACAACTGTATATACCCCCACAATCGAAAGAAAAAGTGCCAATTTCGAAGCCGCGACAACCAGTGACGTGCCCATGCTGCAGCTCCACCGGATTCGGCATCTGCGTGGAGCAACCTCTGTCTTGCACCCATGCAATGACGTCACAGCCAATTACGCTGCCCACAAGAACGCGGCAGCGACATCCGTCTTTGCACAACAAAACACTTCACACCTCTTCAATCATACTACCAAACCTCTCACTCTCCCATTTCCAACCCGCAAACTTCACAATCCCCCGCCTCAAACCTCAAACCCTCAAAATGTCACCCCGCGCCCTCTACACAGCAACCCGCTCCCTGCGCACCCCCATCCCCAGCTCGCGTATAAGTTTCACCATGCGCCGCACCTTCCTCAGCACACCCACCCTGCGCATCAAAGAAGACGCAACGCGCACCCCCGAACAAGTCGAAAGCGCAAAGCAAGAACAGCTCAAGGAGCAAGAGAAGGGCGAGGGCAGATGGCGCGAAGACCTTGCTAGTCATGGCGAGAGCAACATTGCTGCGGATAAACAGCAGGTGCACGATCATGATCAGCATATGAAGGAACTTCAGCAGGAGGGTAAGAAGAAGGGTGAGAAGGGGGAAATGTAAGGACGTCTTGAAGAAGTATGATCTGAAAAGCACAAGAGCGATAGAAGTTTGTGGTGATATGTATCAATTGAAACAAGCGCATACCAAACAAACAAGCTGAACCCAAAGAGAAGAGAAGCAGCAGCATGTTGAAGCCACCTACATCCCCCTCCCATCCCTTCTCAACCACCCACACCCCCACCCCCCTCAGAAATTCACAACACTAGCCTCCAAAACCCCTTCCTCCCCAATCAATGCCTTCAACACATCCTCCCCAACCGGCTTATCAACCCCCAAAATCATCAACGCCTCATTACTCCCCTCTCCTTCTCCCACCCCGTTCCCAGTCCCCCCACCACCATTCCTCTCATGCAACCTCTCTTCCACCTCCTCATCCAACGGCGCCACATTCATAAACTTGATATTGACGCCCGCCTTCCCCAGCAAATTCCCTACGTACCCGATCTTACCCACGGAGTCGAAGTTGCGACAGATGAGTAGGGTGCCGCGGGGCACGAATTCGCCCTTGAACTTGTCGAGGCGCGAGATGAAGGGTTTGTTGCCGGAGACGAAACCTTGGATTATTTGGTCGTCATCGTTGGATGTGTTTTGCAGGGCGCGCGCAGCAGAGGGAGACACGTTACGTGAACGCGGTTGTTGGGATACAGAGCGTGAAGCGCGGGCGCGCAGGGTGATGAAGGAGGAGTAGGGTTTGTCTTCTACGTTTTCGCGGGAGCGCTGTTCGTTGATGAGGATACCGCGTTCTTTGGCCAACAGTTCAGCATTAACGATGTTGATGTTTAGGCCGTCGCTGGAGGTGATGGGCGTGAGGAGGCCTTTCACTAGAGCGGCGAAGAGGGGTTTTGTCGTGTTGATTGTGGCGAGCTTGCCTTCGTAGGTGAGATCAAAGGTTGTGCGGAAGGAACCGGTCTTCGCGGAGGAGTAGTGTTGGGTGTAGAGGCTGCCCATCTTTTCTACGAGGCTGATGAAGGGTTGGAGGGTGCGGTATTCGTCTGGGAGGACGATGGGCGCATTTACTGCTGAACGGGGAAGCTCGCCGCTGAGGATGGAGACAACTTGCTCGCAGACGTCGATGGATACGTTTTCTTGGGCTTCTTTGGTGGAGGCGCCAAGATGGGGCGTTGCTACTACTTTTGGGTGGGCAATTAGGCGGGATGCTGATGAGTCTTGTTGAGGTGGTTCTGATGTGAATACGTCTATCCCCGCGCCGCCAACAACTCCAGCGTCTAGAGCGTCGACGAGAGCATCTTCATCGATCATGCCGCCGCGTGCTACGTTGAGTATCCGGGCCGTTGGCTTCATCGTCTCCAGTTCCGCCTTACCAATCATGCCTTTGGTTGACGCGATCAAGGGAGTGTGCAGGGTCAAGAAATCGGCTTCTTTCAGAATCTCCGCTAGACTTGGTCGAAGAGTCACCGAAGCTGCTGCTGCTAGGTTCGGGTTTGCGTAGGGGTCGTATGCAATGAGGCGCATTCCTAGGCCGTTGGCAATACGAGCAACTGTGAGACCGACTATGCAGGCGTTAGCCAGGTGATGTCAAGCTGAGATTCAATGCTACCTTTGCCCAGCCCCACGATGGCCAAAGTCTTGCCTTTCGCCTCCACACCCACCAACCGACTGCGCTCCCATTTCCCAGCTTTGATACTCTGTGATGCATCTCCAATATTGCGAGCTACGGCCATCATGACTATAGCAAGTCAGCTGGGGTACGTATAACGATGTCTGGGTTACCCACGAGCTATAGTGTGTTCCGCAGCAGCGTTGATGTTTCCAGAAGGCGAATTGACCACGATGATACCGTGTGAAGTGGCACTCTGAACGTCCACGTTGTCAACACCGACTCCTGCACGCGCAACGACTTTCATGTTCTTGGCTGCACCCAGGAGCTCTGCAGTGACCTTCGTCTCAGACCGTACGATGAGGGCGTCATATTCGCCAATGATATTTTTCAGCTCTTCCGGACTCAGTCCCTTCTTTTCATCTACATCGAACTGGTCTTTCAGCAATGCCAGTCCATCTGGCGATACTTTCTCCGGTATCAAGATCTTTCGTTTCGCTGTACGCATGAGGATAGCCATGATGACGAGTACTCGTGTTTGTTGTTATCTTTAACCCTCCTGAGATGGATAGATGGAAGCAATTAAGTATGAAAGGGTTCCGGTGGTTTCAAACAAAGGTGAGAAACGGTTATTGCGCCGAGTTAGCTTCACACGAAACTGGTATACAACCTTGTGAGGGACTGTATGGGATGTAAGCGCAAAGCCTACAAGAGGAGTACACTCCATTTTGTACACCTAAAGTAAGACTGCGCCGCTATCGGTCTGCTGCAGTAGCATGCGTCAGAGGGATGTTTTTGTGGTAGCCTTACCTGTTGGCTGTGTTTACCCCGCACTCCTTTTACCCCACGGGGTGAGCGCCGCTGCTGCAGGGTCAGTTTGGCGAAGTACCTAGGCATTGAACAACGCCATCGAGACTTCGCAGAGACAATAATAGAGAGCTTCGTAAGAAAAGGAATCGAAAGAAAACTGATACGATCTGGGATGTATTTCATTATGCAGTTGGCGTCGCAGTACCGCGATTGCTCGCGTCCGTCACGGTACTATACTGTGCATATGTTGCGCAGCGTGGGTAGCCACAAATGGTGTGATCTTCAACGATTGGAGGCTGAATTGCTGTTGAGTGGGATATGCACATCACGCGGGTAGTCGGCGCCGCCCGTTTACCAATTGCTACGTGTCTTGAGCTTCTCGTTCTGCACTACCTCGATCCAGTAACCATCAGGATCTGCATACACTGTCAGTTGTCGATTTTCCCGATAGATAGATAACGGATTACCTAGTACGAAAGCGATGTTCTTCATGCGACCGTCAGTAAGCCTCTTCTTCCAGTTGACCTTCTTCTCTTCGAAGCGAGCACAGGCGGCGTCGAGATCGTCGACAGCAATGCAGATGTGACCGAATCCTTGAGGCTCATCGTTGCCGTTGTGGTACTTGAAGTTTGCGTCCTTCTCGGTTCCGTAGTTCCATGTCAACTCAAGCAGGCCTTCGGTGTTTGCTACCGGGTTGACGCCGTTTGCAGTGTTTTCGGATGCATCGGGGCCGTATCCTAAAAAGTACAGGTTGAAGCCGGCACTTTCGTTCTCTGAGGTGCGCTTAAGTTTCATGCCCATGACGTCTTGATAGAAGTTGAGTGAGGCCTCCTTGTCCTTGACGCGGATCATGGTGTGATTCTACAATCATTAGCATAGTAGCATAGAGTCGTTGCGGCACTACTTACCATTCGGTACGAGCCTGTGTCGGTGTCCTTGACGTTCTCCGTCTCCTCCAGTGGCTTCTGGCCAATCACCTCTACCCAATAGCCATCGGGGTCGAGCACAAATGCAATGTGGCGCATGCGACCGTCTGTGAGCTTCTTCTGAAACTTGTAACCGGCATCTTCTAGCCTCTGGCAGGCTGCCTGTAGATTGTCCACCGAGATGCAGAGGTGGCCGAAGCCCTTGTGAGGTTCCGTGTTGCCATTGCTGATTTTGTAGTTTGGATCGTCTTCGGTGCCGTAGTTGTGAGTCAACTCCACAATTCCCTCGCGGTCGGTCCAGTGGTTGCCATGTGAGACGGCTTTCGGACTATCATATGCGAGGAAGTAAAGGTCGAACTTGGCGTCGGGGTTCTTGATCTGGTTGATCTGCTTCATGCCCAGGAACTCGTAGAATTGGACTGATCGCTTGGGATCCTTGATCCGGATCCTAGCAAATGTGAGTAAGTAGCCAATGATATGGAGAAGGTGCATGAAATGCCATGCGGGTACTCACATGGAGTGGTTGAGCTTGTACTTGGATGGGTCGGTCGCCATGGTTGCTAGCGTTCGAATAAGGAAGCTTGGTGTATTGTTTGATTTGAGAAGACGAAATGTAGATGATGCGACTACTCGTGATGTTCTTAGTATTGCTGGACGCGTGAAAAGCATTGATTGAGCTCTCTAGAAGGATCGCAGCGCAACTGAGGGGAAACAGATTCTAAGGCCGATGACGTCTGTGATCCAATGAAGAGCTACCAATTGCCCCTCACCCGGCATTTGCTCGGAGATTAGCCCGGTGGGGTAGGATGGCATCTTGCGTGGGTGCGACGAATAGTCTTGTGACGTCGAAATTGAAGAGGAGCACTGTGTGCTGAGATCTGGATATATACACCAGGTCGACTTTGTTGTAAGGCGCGTGGCGTACAATAGCATCGTCATGTCGCGTGCGCGCGGACTCGTTTCTTCGAGTTGCACTTCCCCGTGACCTGGCCCCAAAACACACCCTACGTCCGAGTACCGTCGTGGTGTGTAGATACACGAAATCTGGGTAGCATCTCCAAGCAATTCATGGTACTAGGCTACAACAATACAAGCTCTTCGTAGCATGAGCGCGAAAGCACGTGCGGCGGAAAACAAGGCTCCGTCCAGCCCAGATGGTCATAGCTCTCTCTCCTGGGGAACTTCGTCTAGAACATCGTCATGATCAAGATACTGACACGCGCAACTTCTCTCTCGTGATCCCATCCGTTCCTTCTCGTGTTCTAACGCGTTCCTTGCTGTTGCGACGCGTCGCTGGCCGTTGTATCCGCCTTTGATCTCAGAGAAGGCGCAGATCGGGGAATTAGCAGCACGACAGCGCGGAAGTGGTTGCGCCAGCCATAGACCAGGTACGTGGGCCTTCTTTCACGTCACCATCTATCATATCGCATCCATTCGTTGCAGCGCGCGGTATTCGCTACATGCTCACGCGTCACTGAAGTTTTCCTACGCACATTGTATCCTTCATTTGTAGTTCTTAACACTCACAGCTTCCCCGTCTAATCATGTCTGCAGCAGATCCCGCAATGATCAACATCGCTAAAGTGAGCGACTGGCTCACTCAAAATGCAAACGAGCACATCTATCCAAGACTCTTGTAGGTTCCAAGTACCATATGATGTCGTCCAAACTGACATCAGTAGCTTAATGTCTCCCAATGGCACACTATTAGCGTACTCAAAGCCTGTTCAGACCAAGGAGCTTCGCGATCAGGCTGCCCTCATATCTATGACCTGGAAAGACAATTGCCAAGGACGCCAAAAGCCATCGACCCGCAATGGAGCTACCCAAGACCAGTCGCTGCAACCCGCACTCAGGACACTCACCATCGAAACTCCGGATTGCAATATTATCGTACGCCTATTGCAACCAGAGCTACTGCTCGTTCTCATCGGTAGAATCGCTCCCGGCAAGAAGCAGGACTTCAAGATCTCTGCCGAAGGACAGGGAGATCCACGATACCCAGAGGCCGACGACCCAGTTTCACGTCCCGGTTCAAGCAACGAACAGCATTTGACCATCAAAGGCAAAGCGCCCTCGTTGCTTAGTAACATGAGTCAGCGCGATAGAGATATCAGGGGTGGCGCGCTCCATGTCCAGCGAAAACGATTAGACGCCCTCGCCGAGTACGTGTTGCAAGACTTCGGAGACACTGGATTCGTCATGCCCGCAGATGCAGACCTTCAGTAGTACGATGATGCGGCTTGGGCCGGGCATACGTTACCCCTGCCTCATTCCACGGATACCGACTCAGAGGAAGGCGATGGCGACGAAGTACTGCACAAGAGATCGCTGGCTGGATTCAGTTCGCTGACCGCGCTAGTATGAGCCCATTGTGTTACCAAGAAAGAAGCGGACTGTAGTAATCTCGACGTCTCCACAGCCGTGTGCTACACTATAGCCAATGATCACGCTGCCTATTTGCTGGAGGGGGTTAACTATTGCTTGGTACGACTTGAACGCGAACGACCAACCGTCAGCCTACTTTACTGGAAGATGGATGACACCGATATTGCCCAGATGACATTGTTGACAGAATCCTCGGCGAGATGCGACAATCTGCAGACGTCTCATGGTGAAGGGGAAGATCTGCGATTGCTGCAGGAATATGTGGACTGATGAGACGTAATTACTAGAAGAGCGAAGGAAGCATTGGAAACGGCCGTCGTGGATGCGGTGCATTGTTGGATACCCAGAAGTCGAATTTGACTTTGTTTACTGTTCACTTAGATTCCAGGTGACATTCTCTCGGGCTATGATAGCTAATTGTCCGGGCATGTATTGCCCGAAATAACAGAACGACACCATGTCAACCTAGGAAAAAACAAAACACCCTAGAGGCTACATTAACGTTGGGTTAGCTGGTTTGCAGGTTTTTGTCTTGATGTATTCTGTAGACCTGTTCAGTTTTTTCCTTGCATAAGGTGACACCGTCTCCAGAACATCCCGCACAGTAGCGACCCAGCGCGAGGTCCAACAGCACATCCACGCACATTGCTCGTGATGACGAAGGCCTTTTCGAAGCCAGGCTAAGCACAGCAAATATCAACTCGTCAAACTTCTATTTGACTTTTTGTTCAACAAGGTCAAGTATCAGGCAAAGGGCCACAGGTCGTGGAGGCATCGACCGGCCGCTACAAACACCCCGCCCAACTTGTTGCGCATTACATTATACAGGCAACGGCTTCGGAACACCCCTCTTAACACCCGGCTCACCCAAACCAGGAATGACCAAAGGCGCCCTTCTCTCCATCGGCGTCCTACCGATAGGGAAGAACTTTGTAATCGTATGATCAGGACCATATGCCTCTTCAACGAGGTACACCGTCACTCTCCACCAAGCGCAAAGTGCGCTCAACATCCAAAAGTAGCTTGCAGCCTTCATGCCCATCGTTACTCCGCCAGTGAGGCTGTCGCCCGACGCGCCAGTGTCTGCCGTAGTGATGGGACGGCCATTGTACGCGAACATGCAGCAAGCGATCGTACTCCCGATAGCTAGGGAGAAGAGACAGACGCTGAGGACGACGTCACGCGCTGTAGCTGCGAGCGCGCCCGACCAGGTGAAGACACAGAGGATCACGAACCACGACGCGAGTTCGGGGAAGTGAGTGTGCACTTCATGTGGCTCGAGAGCACCGGCCGCCTATCATTCCCTTCATTAGATCATCTCTCCTGTTCCAAAACGTTTTCAAGAAAAAGACTTACAACAAAAGCATACAAAATCCCAATACTAATCCAAAAGCTTCCCCACATTGTGTTAATCACCGTCACCAACGTGTCCCGCGCTTTAAACCCATACAATCCGGCGATGAACTGTGCCAGCCCGCCAAACAGACCTACGAAGGGAAAGAAGATGGTCGGTGACTCGGGATTACCCCACCAATTCGCGATGTAGGACGAGGTTATCCATGTTGAACCTGCGAAGCCGGCGAGACCGAGGGCGGCGGGGGGTGCGATGGGTTGGAGGAAGATTTGGATGCCGGGGGTTTGCTGGAGGGTCTGGTCGACCTTTTTGGGCTCGTCGGCGCCGTGGAGTGCCATTGTATGTTTTGTTGGTCAAGGGAGCGAAGCGAATACTTGTCAGCCTTGATCGGATAACTACTGTGAAATGTAGGTGTTTTGTTGATAGTGGTGAAATGTTTCTGGGGTCAACAAGGATGTAATGCGAATGCTGAGAAGGTGCGAACAGCAATTAGATAACCCATGATTTCCATCAACAGTCGGCGACCTTATTGCTGTGATGCAATCGTACAGTCAGTGGAGATAAGGCTGTGATGTTTTGTTGTTACATGGCTATGACGATAAGCGTGACGCGATAAAGCGCTCCGCGTGCTGATCGCGAACATCGCGACTGATCCACGTCGGCACCTCACTTCCGCGTGAATACCTTGACATCATCACAACGCGAATGGATATGTTCACTCGTTGAAGCTATGTGACAGAGGTTGATGCACGTCAACCTAGGAAAAAACTGAACAGGTCTGCAGCCTACATCGACATAGAAGTATTCAAAGTAGGTGACCCAACGTTGATATAGGCTCTAGCCCTGTTTAAGTTTTTTGTTGTGTAAGGTAGATGGGACTACTCAAGCCACAGTCGAAATCGTGATTAGTGGGGAGATCGGGGATGGGTCCTTGTCATTGCTAGATTCGGTAGTGCGCGTCGATGTGGAGCGGTGATGCTTGTGATGCTTATCCCAATGTCATATGTGCTTAGTCAATTGAGCTTAAACGTAGGAAGACTAGTGAGAAAGAATACATCATCGAACATTCCCCAGATGATGCTGATGATATCGAGTGCATGGAGCATCTTTGGCCAGGGTTTGGTGTCTTCCAACTCCTCAACTCATACCACCGTCCTCATTGTCGCTCGATACTTCGCTGCCCTTTTCATCGCTTTGACCGTCGCTGTCTGTGAAAATTTCGGGTTCATTCCTGCCGCTGTCTCCTCTGGGTCAGTGCCGTTGTTTGCATCCACTTCTCTTCGCTCATTTATAGTCCTTTCTTGACGCTCAGCCTTTTCCATATCGACTGGAAAGGCCCCTGGTATGTGGATACATTTGTTTTCATCATCTTTCGTGACACATTTGGCAGAGGCGATGCTATCAACGAGGACCTGGAAAGCGGCTGTTTCGGAGGAGGAGGGTGCAAACCCCTGTGGTAAGAGATAGTCATAGCGCTCTCCGAACCACAACCAGTATTCCTTCAATGACTCTTCGTCCATGGGAAGGCCTTTCATGCATGCCTTCCCGAGTATCCGTAGAGTCTTCACATGTCCATAAGCAGCTGCGATGTGAACAATCGACAGACCGTCAACTTTCTTACGATTCAGCCGAGCGCCGTGGTCTATGAGTGTCCCGAGTGCGGAGCAGTTGTTGCTCATCACAGCTATCATGACTGCTGTTCTGCCCTCATCATCTTGAGCTTCGATGTCGGCGCCAGCTGACAATAGTCGTTCGCAGGTGTATGATGTAGACCAGTAAGCCGCCCTCATCAGAATGTGCATGCCATCATGCAGCCCATGTACATTAGCTCCGGCATCTAGCAAGACATCTATCATCGGAGTATGCCAATCCCGCAGCACCGCCACGCCTAGAGCGGTTTCATTGTGCCGGCAAACTTGGTCAACGTCTCCGCCGGCCTCGACAATCTTCCTGCAAATTGCGTCCGAACTCAAGTGAGATCTACCAGCATTACACAACGGAGCTGTACCATCTTTTGCCACACCATGTGAATTTGCGCCAGCTTCGATCAGCAAGTCGACAGCCTCAACATTCCCCAGAGTCATAGCCCAGTGCAGGGGTGTGTTCCCCATGGAATCTCGGGTTAGCACAGCGCCCGGCTCACTTCGTAGAAGGTATTTTAGGCTCATAAGGTTTCCGTTAAGTAGTAACTTTGTGGCGGGAGCGAGGTCGAGAACATCACTAGCGTCCAGAAGATTCGATCGTCTCTGGAAGTCTTCGCATACTTCGCCCTTTACAGAGATGACGCCAAGAGCCTGCGCAGGAGTACTATTGTCATCAGCGTGTGTGCAAGTTGGTCCCGATGATGCTTACAGCCCGTTAACCGGTGACGGAAATTCAATGTCCGCTCCGTCATCCAACAGCATCATGTACATAGACTCAGAGTCTTCATATTCGAGAGCAATCTTCCCAATTAGCCCAGAATCCTGTCGATGAAGAGCGAGCGCTTACGGTAAGTGGCGAGATAGGTTCGCGGTTTAGGGTCGTGAGCATATCGAAACCCCAGACTCCGTAATGCTCCATCATCCGCTGAACTTCAACAACCGCACCATTACGCAATGCAGACGTCAAGCTCCAGTGGACAAAGTTGTCATCGACAACTTGTGGTATTTCAAGACTCCAGACTCCTCCGATGCCACCGAGTGAACGCCAACATGCAGCAAATTCAGTTCCCATCGGCAGGAGCCATGTCGGAAGAAAGTACTGAAACCGCAGAGCTCCTGTTCCGTTTGACTTATGACGACACCGACCGTAGTTACATAGCCGGCGGTTGAGTAAAGGCACTGAAGCAAATTTGAAGAATGCGGCACCTATCACCCCACGTAGCCACCTCGGCGTAGTAGCCACAAGTGGTATATGGCAATCGCAAGGACCTGATGACTTGCAGGTTCGATCTGTCGTCGCTTCGATAGTTTCAATCTTGATATGGGAATTGCATTTAGTTTGCTGGTCGATCATGGTCCCATCGGTGATTGACGAGATTGTGCTCCTACAGGCCGCTTTCTCCATGGCATCAGGCAGATCGAGTGTTTTGTCATAAGTCGTCGATTCTGTGGGCATGTCTCCCGCGTGAACGATGGTTACATCTTGTATGACAGTAGAAAGCCTGCTGGTGGTTCTCCTGTTTGCGCAAAGTTAGCCAGTTGGCCTGTGAACAATGTCTGATCTAGCCCTCTCTTACGATCCCGGCGTACGCCCGACAACGGCAAGTCTCAACTCACAGATTCGTTGCACTCATCGCTAATACAAAGCTGAGTTTCAAGGAAGCCAGCTCCTGTTGGAATGCGTCAATCTGACATTGTACTTGACCTGTTCCCAACACGTCCATCCACTTCACACATCTTTTTAACTTGGTGACCTTATCAGCACCGGCCACTTCTTTTCGCTCACGCAAAACATTTCTCCGTAGATACTTGGTGAAGGCGTCGACCCGGCCCATTACTCGGCCTGAAAGCCTATGAAATTTAGCCTGATAATGTGGCGGGACCTGGTGCCGAGTTTCATTCAACGCCGTCTGTACTAAGGTGAGAGTTGCCTTGAAGTCAGTGACTTCATTGATCGCCCCAAGGACGTAAAGTGAGACGCCGCGCAAGCCCAACACTTGTTCGAGGATCGAGGCGGCATGGCTGGCTGCGCTGATTAGGGTGACTATGCTGGGCACTAGGTCTATGGCTTCCATTCTTTGTATGCGTATGTGTAGAGTTCAGTCTAAAGTTTTCGCGTCATCCTGGTGATATCGAAAGAAGTAAGGTAATAGATTATAAAGAGGCTATGATAGAGGTGCAGTGCTGTGGCCTATGATTGCTTAATGTCGTTCGTACGGCGCCAACTGTACACCAGAGGAGTACATAGCCCTCAGACGGTCGAATCAATACGGAGATGGGTTGCACCGCTGCGCGCGTACAATCTGGCATTAGATTCGTATGCATGCACCCGGTTCATGCATTTAGTCATTCATGGTCAGCCTTGTGTGGTAGCATACAGACGCACAGAGCAAGCGATGGGATGGAAAATTTGCCAGTTGTTGCACGACCATGCGCTGCGCGAAGGGCATTGGAAGACGAGATGAGACGGTGTTGTTGATCAGATCTCCGAGGGCCGTGATTTCCCCGCTGTCACGTGCCCAGACTCTTGGCGTGTCGAGCACGCAATTCGCGCTAGGGCCAAATTCTCGTCGCGTCAAGGCGACATTCCGCGCATTTGCAATCTATCGCCCGAAAGACGTGCTAGAGCATCTGGACAGAGCCAATCATGGTGTCTGTGAAGGATTGCGTCTTCCTCGGTCGGTCTTCTGCCGATGTCGCTACTGGACGACGGCACTTTTTGGCTGCTACGAGGCGGCAAACCCACGACACGGATATACTCCCACTGTGAAGTCTCCGGACAGTCGTAGCACCTCCCGTTCTCTCGTATACGCCAAAGAGAGACCCTCACTGCCTTTTTTTGAAAGGCTGAGTTGCTGAGGCGCATACTTGTATTCAAGATGCATTTCCAACAGACTGAGTCTGCCGGCCCTGGGGCTGAGCAGAATGCACCCAAGAACTTCTCCAAAAAGTCGTCCAGTCTGCCATTTGGTCAAAACCTCTCCTACCAATCTATCGGCGGACCCACCTACCTCACGGCGCAAACCCTCGTTCAGCAAGTCGCATACGCCCTCTCGGATAAGATATTCGCATACTCGGCTGAGTCGTTCGATTTGGATGTCGCAGTCAAGTACTGGCAGGAACAGGGCGAGAAGAACGCCTTCGGCTACCAGACTGGTGTCTCTTCGCTTGAGACGAGGACCGGTGCTGGTGCCATCGCATTGGGATACATGTTCTCCAAGGACTATGACTTGAAGAAGCGCCATATCCCCCAGTCCATCGTCGCCTCCTCTTCTACGTTGAACTACCTCCGCGCTTCGCTCGACCAGCTATCCGCCCTCTACTCGGTCGCAAACCCTTTGACCGCCCACATCGCCGCTGTCGACTACTCAGCCAACTCCAGTGCTGGCCTCGTCACCGACTATGTGTCTTCCCTCACACTCGCCGAAGACCTGGGCCTTGGTCTCGTCTGCAGCCCGTCTGTCTTCGAGGCCCAGCACATGTCCCTCTTCGCTACCCTCCTTTCGAGCGTCCTCCCCACGATCCACACATATGATGGCATTAGCGTTGGAAGGGAAACAGCCAGGCTGGTAGATACTCTCGACCAGACCAGGCTGCACAACAGCTACGAGGCAGTGCTCAAGGCCGTCTCGGAGGTCGACAAGAAGCACTCTGACACTGCTGGACGCGTTCTGCGCCTGCTCCAGGCCTTCAACGATGAGCTTGGCGAGGACTACAAGCTCTTCGACTACTACGGCCATGAAGAGCCAGAGAGCGTGCTTGTTGTCTTTGGTACTGTGGAGGCTTCATTGACCGCTCAGGTCGCCAACGCCTTATCCAAGGATGGCGACAAGGTCGGTGTCGTCAACGTCCGCGTCTACCGTCCGTTCGTTGAGGAGGCTTTCCTTGAGGTGCTTCCCAAGAGCACTCGTCGCATCGCCGTTCTTGGTCAAGTTAAGGATGAGGCTGCGGTTCTCGACCCCGCAGAGTACTCCAGGCTCTACTCCGACGTCTTGGCTGCCATTCAGTTCGCCTACCACAGGGACGTTGAGGTCAGTGATGTCAAGTACTCGCGCGAGCAGGTCTGGACTCCCAGCAACTTCCTTGATGCTTTCCGCCAGATCCACGCCGAGAAGGAGGGAGCCGAGGTCCGCTCATACGTCGACATCTTGAACACGGCCGACGTCAAGCAGTACAGCTTCTGGAACCTCGACGAGTCATCTGCCGCCAACGCCCCAGTTGTAGTGGGCAAACTCCTCTCAAGTGACTCTTCCAAGAACGTCTTCGTTCGCAGCGGCCACGACAACCTCGTGCAAGGCGGTGTTACTCGCACTGACATTCGCAATGCTGACTACACCATCGAAGCGCCTTATGCGGTTGAGCAAGCTGATGTTGCGTACGTCGGCGATGTTGCCATTCTCAAGGAGTTCGACGTCCTGAATAGCGTCAAACCTGACAGCTCCATCATTGTCAAGCTGCCCGGTGTAAAGAACGAGGACCTTGAGAAGAAACTCTCGCCTGCTTTCCGCAAGGCCCTCGTGGACAAGGACGTTCAGCTCTTCGTCCTCGACCCTGCTTCGTCTGAGGCTGTCGCTGAGGACGAATCTCTAGAATCTTACCTCACCCAGCTCGCGTTCCTGAGAGTTGCTCGTGAGGACCTGCTATCCTCTGGCTTGAGCAAGCTTGCTGCTATAAATGGCAGCTCAGATGTCTTCGACAAGCTCGCCCAGCAGCTCGAAAGCGCTCTTCGTGAAGTCGAAGTACCTGCTGCTTGGGGCACTGTTGAGGATGATGTTGAGCCCATTCGCCTCCCTTCAGACATCAACGTTAACAGCTTCGCTCCCTTCGATCGCATCGAGTCTGAGCCACTCACACTGCTCAAGGACTGGCAAGTCGCAGCCAAGGGCTTTGCCTTCAAGGAAGCCTTCGGCACCGCGAACCAAGTTCGTCCCGATCTTGGCTTCAAGACCAGTGTTGTCCACGTCAAGGAGCGTCGCCGCCTCACACCGCAGAACTACGACCGTAACATCTTCCACATCGAGTTCGATCTCGGTAACTCTGGTGTTACTTACGCCATTGGCGAGGCCCTCGGCATCCATGCAGAGAACGACGAGGCACAAGTTGAAGAGTTCATCAAGTGGTATGGTCTCAACCCCAATGAGATTGTCGAGGTCCCGTCTCGTGACGACCCCAACGTTCTGGTCAACCGTACCGTTTACCAGTCCCTCATGCAAAACGTCGACATCTTCGGTCGCCCACCAAAGCGTTTCTACGAGTCGCTTGCTGAGTTTGCTGATGACGAGCGTGAGAAGCGCGAGCTTCTGCAGCTTCTGAGTGCTGAGGGTGCCACTGAGTTCAAGCGCCGTGCTGAGGTTGACACTGTCACCTACGCCGACATTCTCCTTGAGTTCCCGTCTGCACATCCAAGCTTCCACGACATCGTTCGCATCGTCAACCCCATGAAGCGCCGCGAATACTCCATCGCCTCTGCACAGCATGTAACCCCCAACTCCGTCTCTCTGCTCATCGTCACTGTCAACTGGGTCGACCCCAAGGGCCGCGACCGCTTCGGTCAAGCGACTCGCTACCTCAACAGCCTCAAGGTCGGCGCGCCTGTTACCGTATCCGTCAAGCCGTCTGTCATGAAGCTTCCTACTAAGACAACCGCGCCCATCATCATGGCCGGTCTCGGAACTGGCCTAGCGCCATTCCGTGCCTTTGTCCAGGAACGTGCCTACCAGAAGCAGCAGGGTCACGAGATCGGCGAAGTCCTACTTTACATGGGCTCTCGCCACCAGCGTGAAGAGTACCTCTACGGTGAAGAGTGGGAAGCATACCAAGACGCCGGTATCATCACTCTCCTCGGCCGCGCCTTCTCTCGTGACCAGCCTCAGAAGATCTACATCCAAGATCGTATGAGGGAATCTCTGAAGGACATCCGCAGAGCTTACCTGGAGAAGGAGGGTAGCTTCTACCTTTGCGGGCCGACATGGCCTGTACCTGATGTGACCGAGGTGCTTCAGGAGGCTGTCGAAGTCGAGCACAAGGTCAAGAACGTTGGCGCCAAAAAGATTGATGGACGCAAGGAGATTGACAAGCTGAAAGACGATGGCAGATATGTACTCGAAGTCTACTAGGAGCCAGGTTTATATGAGATAGATCCATGACATTCCATTATTATTCCAGGGCCTAGTGCGAATGACCGCAAACTATCTTGCCATGCTTCAAACGCTTTTCTTAATGACTGAAGGACTTCACAGCCTCACCGTAATGTTGGAAAGGAGTGAAGCTCATGTTTACTGACCAACGCAGTGCATTTCGCCCAAGTGAAGTCAAAGCTAGTGCCAAAGATACCTTCGAATAACTCTACCTCTTCGCCATCATCGCCTTCTTGGCACGAAGACGTGCAAGTTTGAGCTCCGCTTCAACGACGGCCATCGCTGCATTGATACCCTCCTCGTCTTCGGCCATCGGTGCGTCGTCGACGATGGCTCCTTCGTGACCGAAAACTCCTGGATTACCGAAGTTGTTGACCTGCTCGCCGTCAAGGCCGGGCGACTCGCGCTTGATCTTGGGAGTGTGGCGATCGAGGCGCTCGGGGCCTAGCATACTAGGCGAAGGGGCCATGGGTGATAGTTGGTGAGGGGCGTACATGACTGAGGGTTGATGGGCAGCCTGGCGGCCCTGATTGGGAAACTGGGGCTGGCCAAATGGTGGATAGCCGTAGCTGTTGAAGCCTGGATAACCACCGTAGCCACCAAATCCGCCGCTTTGGGTAGGCATCATCATCGGACGACCCCATTGATCGATGGGCGGCTGACAGTAGTAGCCACCATACTTACCAGGCGGTGGTTGATGAGGTGGTGTCGGCGACTCCTCCTTGACGGCTTCTTTCTTTGGTGTCTTGTGCTTCTTGCCGCGAGGACTCAACGCAGGGGGCTGATGGTAGCCACCCATCACCTGGTGACCGTTTGAAGCACCTCCGCTGTGCTGCTGCTTGACGTCGTCATCCGACTCTGAATCGGACCCCCCAGAACTGTCCTGGCTGCCGTCACTGCCCTCCTCACCATCATCTTCAGACTCACTAGCCCTCATAATCCTATCCACATCCTCCTCACCCTGGATCTCCTTAGCATTAACAAGCAAATGCTTATACCTGATCCCAAAAGAAAAGTCCATTTTCCAATCTTTCACCAACATATCTTCCATAACATCGAAGTCTGTGGTGGCGAGCTGTGGCTTCCGATTCCCAGTGTTCTTGACGCGGTAGCGGACGACTTCTGTCATTGCAGCAGTGAGCCACTTTCGGTTTTTTGTGAGCTTGGCGACCATCAAGATGGCTTTGAGGACTGAGGGGAGCCACTTCATGGGGTCGTTCTCGTGGGCGCGCATGTAGATGCGAATTTGGCCGTTTTTGAACTGGGTAGTTTGAGTGAGTGGAAAGTAGTAGGGTAGTGTGAGTATCTACCAGAGGACGGTGACATTTGGGGATGTAGTTCCCGACCCAGTTCTTGCCCCAGTAGCTTTCAATTCCTTTGATGACGGCTTTCTTGGCTTTCAAGTCGTTTTTCATGACGGGTCTTGGTTTACTCGGTGTCGGACCGGGTTTCTTAACAGTCTCTTTGGCAGGCTTCTTTGGCGACGGCTTGGTGGCCTTGCGCGTTGACAAGCGTAGGTTGTGGCGCTGGCGTGTGGCGGCAATGGGCCCATCGTCTTCTGATGGCTCGCTGATCGTCTGAACTTTGTTGGACTGGCGCTTCACGGGCGGTCCCTCTTTGACGTCATCGTCCGACACGAAGATGTTTCCCTGGGCTGTTGAGCCAACTTCAGCGTCTACGCTTGTCTGTTGGCTTTGTTAGCGTCCCGAAGTCGTGACGGAAAATATGACTGCGGAAGCATTCGCGACATATTTCTCGTACAAACGAATTGCTAACATGGGAGCGTGGAGAATATTGCGATCGATGTGCGGTAGCCCCTGGCGCAGTGACAAGTTACTTACCGGGTATAAGGGAAGAGCGGCCTCTGAATTCACGCGCGTGTCAGTAACTTTAGGCGCAGTAACTTTGGGCACAGATGGTGGCGAGTCATCGTCGAGGCCCCATTCCGGACTCGACATTCGCTCAAGCGATTCTGGAGAATATGAGCGATCCATATTGACGACCGCGCGATTCCGGAAGCAGAGGAATCAGGAGTTGATGGGAGGTATAGACTCGAAGTCTTTGATTACGAGCAGCAGATGTAACGAGATGGAAGCTTTGGGGGTCGCCTCGAACTGGTAGTTGATGCGGAGGATAGGTAGCACGTCACTGACGAGGCTTGGTCATAAATAGTCACTCAATAGCAAGGACGCACGGTTGACCGTAACCCACTAGCGCCCATGTGGCATCAATTTGTGTGGGGTAGATCTGGAGCTAGACGGTGGTGATAGAGGGACAGACGTCGCTTAGGACTGACGGTGAGAGAGGAGACGCAGTGACTGCCTGGTAGAGCGCGTTGGCCAGCCACTGCACAGGTCTGGAGCATGAAAGAGTAGATAATGTTTCTGCGAGGCGACAGTGTCTTATATACGGTAAGACTTTGTCATATGGAAGCGCCGAACATGAGTGGCTCCAGTGGAGCTCTTGTTTTGAGAACCGCGGTCTACTACGATTCCATCAATGATAGAGTCACTGCGAAAAATCAAACTATTGCCATCTTCTTCGGACTTCTGTTATGATACCACTGTTCATAGACAGTACCTACAAACTTCTGGTCCCGCAAAGCCTCAGTCGAGATCTCTGGATGGTAAACACATATGAAGATAATCCCAGACCTATGGTATCTTCGCTCAACGTATCAGTATTATAATACTTACAGAACTCCACTAGAACGATCAGATACCAAACTGGAGAAACGCAGTCAATCAAAGGATCGATGTAGCCCTTGTTCAGGACGACGGGCTGCAGTTTTACAAGAGAACCTATAATGATAGGAATTGCTATGCTGCTAAAGCTTTCAAATAAGGAACAAAGGAAGACGGACTTTTCGTTCGAAGGATTTTAGCAGCAACACGAAGTAGCCGGCGGGCTCAATTTGCATGTTATTATCCAATCGCTACTATGTGAAGTCTACAAGCGACTTTGAATCTTCTCCAGCGTATCGCCCAAAGCGTATTCGCTCGCCACAGTCTTGCTCCTGACCTTTTCGCCATCCTCCTTCGTCACATAGCGCGCCTCCACAGCCGGGTTGTAGGAAAAGTGGCTCGCTTTCTTAACTTCTTCATCACTCATCTTGACGTTCTTCCTACCATCAGCACGTTTGTAAACGTTGATGACGACAGCTCCTCCCAGGCCAAGGTTGTGTTGCAGCGCAGCGTCTGCTCCATCAGCAAGTCGGTTGTTGGCCCAGCCGCGAAGCTGCCACGTCAATTCCGCACATTGCGCGAGTCCAGTTGCGCCGAGAGGATGCCCTTTGCTGATGAGACCGCCTGACGGGTTGACGATCGGACCTTTGCCGCCGTATGTAATATCGCCATTGCGCACCATCATGTGTGCTTTTCCAGGCTCGCTGAAGCCCAGACCCTCCAGTAAAATGAGTTCATTGGCCGAGAAGCAGTCATGCAATTCTGCCACTTTGATGTCTTTTGCGTTGACGCCAGCCTCCTTCAAAGCTGCTCGCGCCGCGCGCTTGGTCATGTCGTAACCAACGAGATCCATCGATGACTTCGAGTAGAGCTGCGGTGAATCTGTCATCAATGACTGGCCTGCGATGAGAATAGCTTGACTCTTCAGGTGTGGCCTAGCGTCCAGGAACTTCTGGCTGACGATGATCGCTGCACCAGCACCATCGCTTGTCGGACTGCATTGAAGTTTCGTCAATGGAAAGTGGATCATAGGCGCCTTCTCAATCTGTTCGAGTGTGTAAACATCTCTAAATTGCGCGTACGGGTTCTTTTGGCTGTGTTCGTGACTGATCCTCGCAATCTCGGCGAAGTCGCGCGCCTCAGCGCCATACTTCTCCATATATTCAAGACCGGCATTGGCGAAGTATTGAGCATTGGGCGGAGAGTTACTTATACCGCGCGTGTCAGCCATCATGCGCATCGACAGCCCCATTGGAGAGGGTCGATCTGTCCAAGCAGATTTGATGGATCCTGGTTGCATCTGTTCAAACCCGATGACCATCGCGCAGTCAACTGCTCCATTCTTGATGAGGGTACGCGCCAGATGCAGTCCAGTCGAGCCAGTGGCGCATGCATTGTTTGTGTTGTAGATTGGGATACTGATGATCGTCAGTGCCTCGAGATTACAGATCATGAAAGCCGGACTTCATACCCTGTCATGCCAAACTGGTAAAAGATCCTTTGGCCACTTGTAGTGTCGCCGTAACAGTAACACGCAACACCAGTTTCAACCTCATCGTAGTTGATTTGTGCGTCTAGCATTGCTTTGACACCAGCCTCATAGCCCATTTCCGGATATGCGCGCGTTTGTCGAGGCTTGATAAACTTGGTGAGCCCGACACCAAGGACATATGCTGGAATCTCATTTTTTGCCATTGTGGTATAATGAAAAGCGATAGACTGCGTGTGAAGGTAATGATGTTGTAATGGTAGATTTAGGTCTGACTGCTGGCATGCCTAGATAGGGCATATGGTATGTAGCTGCCGGGAGGCGACACCCTGGACCGAGGTTCGGTTACCCCACCAGCACACCTCCGCAGCATCAGCACGTTCGACTCGTTCGTTCCTCACTTAGCGAACGCACTCACCGACCTAGTTTGGAGACAGTTCAATGACCTGTCGAACGCATCGATGCGCCTGTGCATTTTTGACAGGTTCGCGATCTTGAGTGTTGCGCCATGTCTCTAGGCTCTGGTCGAGCTAGCGACACGGCCCAGGCCATGACTGCTTGGGCGTATCAAACTCGACAGCTCCATCTCGCCGCTCCTCGGTGGCTATGGAGAGGCCAGCATACCATCGCCCTCCAAACACTATGTCGCCTCTGTCCTCAGAAAGATCGCGGATCGCGCTATCGCAGAGATGCTGAAGACTGCACGCGCGAAGGCCCATCGGCTTTGAGCGCTTCACCTTCTCGAAACTCAATGTTGCATCGATGCAACTCTTCGAAAATGCCGTTGTGCCGTATTTTGATTGTTGTAAATGGCCGACGCCGAGAGGCTGACATAGCTTTTCGCATTCGGCTTGGGGCCACATCATAATCAGAGCAGCCTGACTCTTGCAGCCATCCGGTCGAATAGCCGATGTGCACCCGACTCAACAGTCAAGCCCACGAACTGTGAGCACAATCCATGGCAGGTGGTGTTTTGCTTGGAGGCCCACGCGCAATTTGCAAAGGATAGCGGTTCCTGCCTTGGCATTGCGTTTCGAAACGACTAGCATCCACTACAACGTCAGGTTCATGCCATGAAAACATGAAACATCCTCGTCAACGAATTACCGCGACCGTGTTACCGAACAGTGTGTCGGCATATTTCCGTCCAAGCTCCACGCAATCTACTTAGTACAGTGGTGCAAACGCCAGTTGACCGTTCTGACACCTGTAGCGCCACCTATGAACCATGTTCCTGGGCATCGGAGGTCCAGATTCCAGGTTGACAACGTGGTGAGGCTGCATCATGAGCTTGTTTGACGGGCGCTAGGCCGGAGATAGTTTTCATCCTTGGAAGTGGCAGATTGAGGGAAACATGATCCACAATGGGTATTGTCTTCATATAAGGATGCATCTTGCGGTGACTTATTCGGTACACGCTCTTTCGCTTTCGTCCATTCTTTCGGTATACTTGCTCGTTCTACGAACGTTGCTTTCCAGTCATTCTTTACAGCCTTGACGGCTTCACACTCTTTTTTTGCGGCAGTGCCACACGTTTCTTTCCTCCACTTCAGTCATCACTCACAGCGTCACAATGGCACGCTCATTCCTTCTCTCAACCGCCCTTCTGGCGCTCCGCGTATCGGCGCAAACATCTGGAAAGTTCACAGATGAAAAGACAGGCATCACCTTCCAAGGTTACCACCACTCTTCCGGCTACAAGCTGGGTTATGCTCTACCTGAGAAGCCTACCACCGATGTCATCATTCAACTTCAAGCACCCATCACCAACGATGGAGGTTGGGCTGGTTTCAGTCTGGGCCAATCTATGACTGGTAACCTTCTAGTTGTTGCTTGGCCTCACGAGGACAAGGTCCTCTCATCTTTCCGTGAGGCAACTGGCTACACGAACCCAGCAGTCAAGACTGGCGACTTCACCATGTCGCCTATCCCAGACGGAACGTTTGTCAACGACACCGCCTTCTCATACACATTCTTGTGCTCCAACTGCATAAGCGACGACCCATCTACTGGCCTTGTCATCTACGAGGACCCAAGCGTCAACGTCCAGGGCTGGGCTTACTCTGATAAGCCGCTCGCAGACTCCACGACCGCTGGCGCGGTTCTCAATTACCATGACGCTGGTTTCGGAGCTTTCGGACTACCCATGAGCAATGCTACTAGCCCCGACTTCGAGAAGTGGGCTGCGCTTGCCGTGGCTGGCACCCCTAGCACCCCTGGCGCCGGTAACTCTACTACCCCAGGAGCTGGTGGCAACTCGACTGCCCCAGCTGGTGGAAACACCACAGCCACCATCGCCAACTCTACATATGACTACATCGTTGCTGGAGGTGGCGCCGCCGGTATCATCGCAGCTGAGAGGTTTGCCGAGAGCGGCGCCTCTGTCCTCTTGATCGAGCGCGGTGGCCCATCATACGCTTTCACCGGCAAGACTGACGTCATGCCCTGGAACGATACTATCTCGATGTACGATGTTCCTGGATACGGTTACTACCTCAGTGATGTCGGCAGCCCTGCTTACTGCTCCGACACTGCGGATATGGCTGGTTGCCTGCTCGGCGGCAGCACTGCAGTCAACGCCATGATGTACGTTAAGCCTCAGGAGCGCGATTTTGACGACAAATGGCCCGCTGGCTGGAAGTGGACCGATGTCGCTAAGGCGGCTGACCGCCTGTACGAGCGTAACCCTGGTCAAACCTACGGATCCGAAGACGGTGTCCGCTACGATGATGGCGCCTACGACGTCCTCTCCAAGTTCTTCGAAGGCCAGGGCTGGACTGAGACTGACTTTGTCAAGGACCCCAACGCAAAGGTTGACGTC